AGTAGTGTTGTTAGAAATACATTAGTGTAAAAAAAGTAGTTTAGTAGAGTCTTAGTAAAGTAAGTAACTTAGGTGTGTAAGCAACTTGCCTGTTGTAAGGCCAAGATGGTGCTTACGTGAGACAGGTATATATACTATTCTGTACGCAATAATTAACGTTGGTTAATTATTCGCACCTTTTTAGTTGTATTGGCGTAGTGGTACAGAGCTCCGTCCTTACACCTGTGAAGTATGTTACATAGCTATAGTATGTTACTTTAAGTGTGTTATGTTTTATTTAAAAGCTTAAAGTGTAAGCTATATCTAATGTTCTTTTAGCATATTTAAGTAGTGTTGTTAGAAATGCATTAATATAAAAAAAGTAGTTTTATGACAACGCGTACCGCGTCACATGCTCTGCGACTCAAGCTCCCTTGCTTGCGCAACAAGTAGCACCTTGGCAGGGGGCACACATGTATATTTAAACTCACAGAGCAGCTTCTCTGCTTCTTAGTTTAATCTAGTTAGGTTACACCACCTCTTGCTTGTAGTTTAAGCATGCTGATTGTAACAAGTTTAGTAAAGTCTTAGTAAAAGTAAGCAACTTAGGTGTGTAAGCAACTCGCCTGTAGAGTACGTTATAGTAATAATAAAAGTACTAAAAGCTTAAAAAGTTAAATTATAAAGTAAAAAGTAACTTTTTATAGTATACTTAGACTATAAGAACCTAACTATGTTCTTAACTACTAAAAAATATTTACTAAAAATAAGTACACTAGGCTTAGAAATTAGCATAATTTTACTATATTATTAAGCACATAGCTAGGAAAGATAACATATAAGCTAATGCACTTAGCTAAAATTAGACTATATAGAAGAAAAGCTATTAAAAATAGAAGCTTTACTTAAAGAAATTTTAAAAACATAAATAGTTGTAACTATAAAAAGAACTAACGTACTTCACAGGCAAGTTGCTTACACACCTAAGTTACTTACTTTTACTAAAACCTTACTATACTACTTTTTTTACACTAATGCATTTCTAATAACACTACTTAAACATGTTAAAAGAATATTAAATGCAGCTTATGCTTTAAGCTTTTAAATAAAATATAACACTTTTTAAGCAACACACTGCAGCTATTTATAAAGTCTTTTAAAAAATAATAAGTAACTAACATATTAAATAACTTTTCTAAGCTAATTATATAGCTAACTTATAAAAGCTAGATAATAATAAGAAGTAAGTAATTATTTAGCACATACTTAAGCTAGATGCGCAAGGATTTCCCCTCTAGCTAGCAGCTATAGCTAATATAGCTAGTTCTTTATACGCTAAGTGTAATATAAGCTATATTAGTATAAACTAGCTTAATATATTTATTAAGTGTTACTTAAAGCTTAAAGTAAAGTTTAAGTGTAAGTATAATTATAAAAAAGCTTTTTATAAAAATCTTATAGTAATTTAAAGCTAGTTTAACTTTATAAAAAATATTAAACTTAAGTATAGCATCTAGAATAATAACATGTATAACTTTAATAAAATAAAGTTTATAAGAGGCTAGATATCTACTAAAGTAGTTATTATAAGTTTAAAGAAATAAAGACAGCTAAAAGTAGTCTAGCTAGGTAACTAAAAGTAGACAATAGCTATCTAGAGTATTAATGCTAAAAAGTAAGCTATTTTACTTTTTATTATCTTTTAAAGTAGCAACTACTGTTTAAACTAGTATAAAAAAAATCTACTTTAAAATTAAGTTATTATAATTTTTAAGCATAGCTAGACTACTAATTAGCTTAGTCTAGACTAGTTAAAGCACTTTAATGTGTATATAAAGAAGTGTACTATTAGTAGCTACTATTTACTAGTTATTAATAGCTATAAAAGCTATAACTTACTTTATTTTTAGTAATACTATAAAAATAATAAAATTATTACTATTTATATACTTTTTTACTTATTACACCTTTTATAACTACTTAATGTAGGTTGTTTTACTTCTTTAAAAAAGGCATATAGGCGCTAAGCTAAAAACTTTATATATAACTAAATTACTTATATTATAAAAATAAAGTTTTTACTATACTTTAAAGCAGCTTATAATGCTATAATTACTTTTAGTAATATTTAAAAAGAGTTTTAAAGTACTAGATTAGTTTCTTTTAACCTATAATAAGTTATAATAGGCCTTAATATAAAGTTGCACACTTTATTACTACTACTACTTATATATAATAAGCTTTAGTAGTTATAAACTCTAAGTAATACTTTAGAACTTAGGTTATAATTAATGCTTAACGTACTTTATAGGTGAGTTGCTTACACACCTAAGTTGCTTACTTTTGCTAAGACCCTACCCTAATAAACTCTATTATAGCCTATAACAACCCGCTCTAGCACTATATAGTACAGTACAGCCTAGAATATTATTTAGATACTACTTCTGCTTCTTGCTTACATGTTTGTGTGTTATGCCTAGTCTAATTGCACTATTTGCAGCGCCTTTAGGATAGCTTACCTACTTTAGCTTGCACCTGCTTCTTTACCTTCTTTCTATTACTGCGCGCTTTAAACTCCTTTAGAGCTGTTAAGCGTAGGCTTTTCTAAATTATTAAGGTCTTTTTTGCCTTAATTTGCTTTTTTTTATGTAATTTATGTTACATAGTAGCCTTATTAGCTGCTTAAAGCTTAGTAATTTCTTATTACACTAACACTAGCTTATGCGTAATTATTACTGCCCTCTTTAAAACTTTTTTAAACACTTTAACTATAAAAGTTAGTAAACTATTTATATGCTTTTAAATTTTTATCTTTATAAGCATTAATTATAACCTAAGTTTTAGAGTATTACTTAGAGTTTATAACTGCTAGGGCTTGTTATATATAGGTAGTAGTAGTAATAGAGTGCGTAACTTTATATTAAGGCCTATTATAACTTATTATAGGTTAAAAGGAACTAATCTAGCGCTTTAAAACTCTTTTTAAATATTACTAAAAGTAATTATAGCATTATAAGCTGTTTTAAAGCATAGCAGGAACTTTATTTTTATAATATAAGTAATTTAGTTACGCATAAGGTTTTTAGCTTAGCGCTTATACACTTTCTTTAAAAGAGTAAAATAACCTATATTAAGTAGCTATAAAAAGTGTAATAAGTAAAAAAGCATGTAAATAGTAATAATTCTATTATCTTTATAGTATTACTAAAAATAAAGTAAGTTATAGCTTTTATAGCTGTTAATAACTAGTAGACAGTAGCTACTAATAGTACACTTCTTTATATACATGTTAAAGTGCTTTAACTAGTTTAAACTAAGCTAATTAGTAGTCTAGCTACACTTAAAAATTATAATAACTTAATTTTAAAGTAAATTTTCTTTTTTATACTAGTTTAAAAAGTAGTTACTACTTTAAAAAATAATAAAAAGTAAAATAGCCTACCCTTTAGCATTAATGCCCTAGATAGCTATTATCTACTCTTAGTTATCTAGCTAAACTGCTTTTAGCTATCTTTATTTCTTTAAACTTATAACAACTGCTTTAGTAGATATCTAGCCTATTATAAACTTTGTCTTATTAAAGTTATATGTGTTATTATTTTAGATGCTATACTTAGCTTTAATATTCTTTATAAAGTTAAACTAGCTTTAAATTACTATAAAATCTTTATAAAAGGCTTTTTTATAGTTATACTTACACTTAAACTTTACTTTAAGCTTTAAGTAACACTTAATAAATATATTAAGCTAGTTTATGCTAATATAGCCTATATTACACTTAGCATGTAAAAAATTAGCTATATTAGCTACAGCTACTAGCTAGAGGGGAAATCCTTGCGCATTTAGCTTAAGTATGTGCTAAATAATTACTTACTTTTTATTATTATCTAGCTTTTATAAGTTAGCTATATAATTAGCTTAAAAAGGTTATCTAGCGTGTTAGTTACTTATTATTTTTTAAAAAACTTTATAAATAGCTATAGTGTGTTAGTTAAAAAGTGTTACATTTTATTTAAAAGCTTAAAGCATAAGCTATATCTAATGTTCTTTTAACATGTTTAAGTAGTGTTGTTAGAAATGCATTAGTATAAAAAAAGTAGTGTAGTAGAGTCTTAGTAAAAGTAAGTAACTTAGGTGTGTAAGCAACTTGCCTATAAAGTACATTATAAAAATTAAAATTTAAAAGTATATAAATAGTTTACTAACTTTTATAGTTAAAGCATTTAAAAAAGTTTTAAAAAAGGTAGTAATAATTACATATAAGCTAGTGTTAGTGTAATAAAAAATTACTAAGCTTTAAGTAGCTAATAAAGCTGCTATGTAACATAAATTACATAAAAGAAAATAAATTAAAGTAAAAAAAACCTTAATAATTTAAAAAGGCCTATACTTAATAGCTCTAAAAAAGTTTAGAGCGCATAGTAATAGAAAAAAGGTAAAGAAGTAGGTGTAAGCTAAAGTAGGTAAGCTATTCTAAAGGCGCTGCAGATAGTGTAATTAGACTAGGCATAACACATAAACATGTAAGTAAGAAGCAGAAGTAGTATCTAAATAATATTCTAGGCTGTACTGTACTATATAGTGCTAGAGCGGGTTGTTATGGGCTATAATAGAGTTTGTTAGGGTAGGGTCTTAGCAAAAGTGAGCAACTCAGGTGTGTGTGAGCAACTCGCCCGTGAAGTACGTTATAAAAGAATAGAAAAAGCTAGTGTAAAATAGATATTAGTTACTAGCCTATAGCTATCTAAAAGTATGTAACCTTTTATACAAAATAGTAGTAGCCTTTTAAAAGACGCTAGAAATGCAGGCACTAATAGACATTATAAAAAAAGTAGTTATAAAAGTACTAGCTCTAGCTATGTATACCTAGAAAAGAATTTAAAGAATTATATAAACACCTTAAATTAAGCTAAAGCAGCAGTGTTCTTTCTTGTCGGGCTTGTTGTCGACTTCGTTAATAGATCACTTCTTACCCCAAGAACAAGTTAAAACGCCCTCACCACCTAATTTTGCGTAACACTCTACTTCGTCCCCTTTATCTGGAGCCTTTCTTTTGCCTTGATTTTTGCCTTGGTTGTTCCGCTGCCCTGAATCTTAAGCTCCTATCTAGGAACAAGCTGCTTCCTCTTTGCAGTATCCGCCTTCTCAAACTCTACCTGTCTATGGTGCAAGTACTGTCCAAGTATAGCCTTGTCATTGACATTCTCCCAAGACTTCCTATCCTCGCCAAAGGACTCTACCAGATCGAGCAACATAGCGAAATTTGCCTTGGCCTTAAACGTCTGAACGCTCCAAGGCCTATCAATCTGTGGGATTTTTGAACGTTTCTTTAGTGCAGCCTTTGGTGCAGCTACTCCACGGGCTGCTCGCACTGTCATAGATAGCGTGAGTGAGGCTGTTTTCGAGATAGACATTTTATCGCTGGGGTTCTTAGGGATAGCTACACCCGTTCGATTGAATTCGGGTTCTCCTACAGTCTGTTTGGGATGAACGAGGCCGGAGACATACTTTCTAGCTCTAATAATCATAAGTGGCACGCCAGCGGGACCCTCTCTAGTGCTGGAGGGCATAGTTGGGGAACTGGCGAAAGACTTTCCAACATCCAGCAAAGAACAAGGGGAGGTAAGAGGCTGCTCAGTTGCAACGTTATTGGCGAGATGTTCGCCTGGGTGGGATTTTGATACATATGCTAGCCCGTCATTACCGTTATCCTATTGGTGCCGCCAGTGCTTCACTTTGATGATACCCTTCCTGGGTCGTTCAGTGCTTACGAGAAAGACCTAATCCCGCACCGAATACAAGGGGTCTGGATTTACCGCCTTAGGCGCTAGGACCTTGTTGAAAGTGACGATGTGGGAGCTAGAAACCACAGTTCTCGTCGCGGTTTTAGTACTGCCGTTGGCTGGCCGTGTCTTGCCGACTTCCTCTCCGTCGGGGCCGTACTCAGTGGAGTCGTTAGAATCGTCGGAATCGTCGGAATCGTTGGAATCGGCGGAATTCTCTCCTGGCTCGTCTTCTTTTGGCCCGTCGGCCTGCTCATCCTTGCTATATTCTTGCCCATATTCCTCTCGCTCCCCCACCCTCTTACCTTCGTCTTGAACGTGTTCAGGTGGTAAGATCGTCTCACGGTCGCCATCCTTGTCCTTGTCCTTACATTTTCCAGTGTTACCCTCCGCGATAGATCTATATTTACTCCCGTTAGCTGGATTATCATCATGTTCGCGGCCTGAAACCCCCTCAAGCGTGCGTTTGAAGCCAGTATCGCCGGCTGATTGTGACTCTAGGTTGTCCTGGATGTCTAAACCGGAGACGCCATCCCAGTCAGGGTAGATATCATGATCTCCATCTTGCTGATATTCTTTCGCCACCGCTGCATCTTTGCGAAGAGGCAGTCCAGAGAGCGTGGTAGCCTTCCTGCTTGTGGTTGGAAAGCCTGCGGCGTTGGGTATTGGTGCGGCAATTTTGTCCTTACCGCGTCCTTCCATGTCGCTACAATCCAAGCGTAAATATTTCTCGCCTGGGCAATCTACGTGGGCATTATTGAGAGTTTCTTCTGGATGTACTGCCTCGAGGACCTTCCCTGCAGTGGTGAGAATGCCGCCGGCATTCGGTGTTAGTGCAACATCGTCAATCCACGCCTGCAACGTGAAGTGTTCGTCGTCATGATCCGACTCGGATTTGGAACGTTTAGTACCCAATGAGTCCATGATGTTTATCAAGATGTGTTATTTGGTTGGTGTGAAAAGATGGTTGCGGGAGTTGCTTGGTGAAAAGTTTGCTATCGGAAATTTGTGCGATCGCAAGGTCTGTAGCAAAGACTTGGTAGGTTGCTAGTGGGATATAAGTCAAGATTTGTAGAGGCTACGCTTAGGATGTACGCTGCGAGTAGTGCGTCTGATGGGAGGAAGTGGTTTTGAAGAGAAAGTTATTTGACTTATATAGGAGTTGGAAGCTGTTAAGCTTGTTATCTGATATCGAGCCACATGATTCCAGCAAGATCAGTCAGGAGGATTCACTGATACCATGTCAGTGAACGAAGAGACGCGCCAAGTGAAAGTCGCTGTCACGTGGTCAATAGTGTGTCGCTAGTGAATTCCGCACCGCGGCGAGGTCTATGCACAATACCGCGCTCAGATTCACATCTTACGACGGGTAAAGAAGTTTAAGAGATCAAAATGTTGGGTATAGCTGGACTTTTAGCACGAGAGAAGTCTTAACTTTTGGAATAAATCGACAGGCAGAAAAGCTGCAGAGACCAAGAATGCGGCGCTGCTGACGAACTTATTTGCAATCAACCCTTTAGCAAAGATGGGGTCTTTTTATTGCCCAGCGCAAAGTACGTTGCGCTCTTTCAAGCACTTTGTCCCCCAGTCGACACTCCGCCACAGGCAATGCTGGATGAAGCTATGAGAAACAACTCAGGTAGGTACAGAAAATTTATTTGCAAATATGTATAGTTTGAGAAAAATACTTATCAGTGGTTGATGGGACTTTGTTTCAAACATCGGTCTTACGGATTGGTGGGACCTTTCATCTCCGGACTGAAATCAATGAACTCCAAGAAACAAACCACTGACACGCTGCCTCGCCGCTTTATACAAAGCCTTTCCAGATTCTTGTACCCATACCTTCACAAGTACCCACCTTTCATGACCTCTTGTAATAAGTGGCATCATACCAGTACTAGTTTGCGTATATTATATACCTGCTAAGCCTTTACAGAGCATTTACGTATCTATTGTTACTGAAGCTGCTCCATCCATTGTCGTGTCTCCATCATGTCGGCTCTTAAGCCTTGAGATGTCTTCCATGATGCTGCTTGGTTGCTGTAGTTTCATTGCTTGCTTATTCATGAGGCGGCTGACTCGCTTGGTAGCCGACTCGCTTACGGAACAACCAGACCTACGATAGAATAAGCGGTCCATGATGGGGTCTGCTTTGTCGACTAATTGATGAGCTAAGCCTCTAACTAAACTTGTACTAGTCCGCAGCTTTGACCACCCCTTCAGCTTGGCTCGCCTTAGAGATCAAACCCTAGAAATCACCGACATTCGTCTCGACATACTATCTATGGGTCCCCATAAGGGCATGCCTGTCTCTGAAATGTATTCTCAACTTCTTCTCTTCCCGCGCCCATCCCACCTTAATCATGTATTCCAAAATCCCCAAGGCACATCGTTACAGCATTCAGGCTGCCTCGCCTCAAACGATCCAGCCTTACTATTCAGATGGTATACCGCGCGAAATCCTCGATAGCGATGTACCAGACCTCAGCTATTTTTTGAACCTCCACTCGGCAGATCCCGCCTTTGAGGACTTGAGAATGGTATGGGACGAAGAGCCCAACATTCTCGATCCGGAAGGTCTACTGCCCTACGCTCCGCTCGAACACGACGATTCTCTCAACAGAAGTTCTCATTTAGCATTCATCAGTCTTGAGAAATCTCTGGAAAACGATTCCTCATGCTCTGTGGAGGCGCCTATACCTTATGACCAACTGCCAGCGAAGCGTGCCGAAACTGGGTATGTGTCGATCAGCCCGTACGATTCTACCTTGAAATCCATTGCAATGTTACCACAGAAGGCGGGTAGACGATTGAAACCCGAGGCTGCGCAAAAAAATCGGCGAAATCGCATATCGTCGGAGAAAAGAGCCACATTAGAGCACTACTTCCAACGAAATCCATACCCAAGCAGATCTGATATCGATACCATAGCTCAGGAGCTAACGTTACCTCCGAAAACTGTCAAAAACTGGTTTAGCAATGCAAGGGCTAGAAAAAATCCTGAACGTAGTCTTGTGGGACAGGAGCCCTGTATTTCAGCTATCGAAACCTCGCCTCACCCATACCCTAATACACCTCTTGGTTCTAGACAAAGCTGTACTGCAGAGGGAAATGAGCAAAATTGCACTTTTGAAGAGGGAATTGAGATATTTACTGCGACATCACCCACCCCAAGCAACATATCTTTGGAACGGTACTTGGCTTCATCGCCGGAAGAGGAGCCCGTCTCCATAGAAGCCATCGAAGCAAACATGGCCCCTGGCACACTCCCTTCATCAGACACGGTGCCACAGCCATGTTCCCCGCTATCGGAATTCGGATCCTTTGGAGACGCTTATAGTAGTGCAGGAAGCTACAGCTCAAACATCAGTGTTGAGTCTGCCGCAAGCTACGCCTCGGCTACTAGCCGGAGTTCTCGGAAAGGCCGTAGGCGATGGCCTCATCCTCCGAAGGCCCGGCCATTGCCTTCTTCACCACTCCCTTCCTGGGATCTGCCCTCTCGGCTCCCTCCGCTCCTGTCTTCAAACCCGCCTTCGTGTCCACCTTCCCCTAGCCCAAATACTGTTGCCCGCACACAATTTCCTTGTACCGTCCCTGACTGCTCGAGAGTATTTACAACTCAATATGAGTGGCTACGTCATGAAAATTCCGTACACTATGCCGTAAAGACGTGGGTGTGCTGCCGAACACCAATTTCAGTTGATGGGAATGATCAAAAAGTGGGGGACCAAGATCTCGATATGGGGGAGCAGTTTTGCAAAACGTTCTCCAAGTGCCTGCAGAAACCAGAATCAGAACGTACGTTCTCCCGGAGAGACCACCTCGTCCAACACCTTCGAAATTCCCACCAGCAAGTTCCTGAGACTGTGGTCACACAGATGGCGACCCAATGGGAACAGCAAGCAGATGTGTCTAGCAACGAACATCTGGGCTGCTACGCTTGTGATGTTCAATTCGAAACTTGGGAAACCCGCAAAAAGCATTTTTCCAGACACTTCAACGACGGACTCTTTATTTGGACGAAGGAGCATGTAGCAAGAACTCGCGGGGTTGCGATCACTCCACCTAGCGTGCCAGAGAATACGTGCGTATTTCATTAATTCCCATCGCTAAGGCATTATTAACGAAGATGAGTATAGACCTGCACCATTTACCTGCCCATTGTGCAGTACTACATTTACGTCATTCCCCTATGCTCTTACGAGGCACGGATACTGCAAAGCTTGGTCATGCGAGTTTCTCGAAAGTCCAAACTCCATATGGGCCCCCGCAACTTTGCAATATGATCGGTGTAAGTTGTGCTCTGTAACGATCCCTGTCCTCGGTGATCTCACGGAACCTATGCGTTTGGAGAAGCGGGCCCACTACGAATCACACAAGTTGCAGACCTGTACGCGGGGACCATTCACCAGTTTCCAAGAATTTTGCGCTCATCTTCAATATTGGCATAATGCGAGATTGCGCCATCCGAAAGAAAAAGACTTCGCGGCCTGGGAGTGTGGCATCAAGTCGTCCTATTCCAGTGATCTTCCCGATCCAAATATTGGTGATCCAGAGATGTCGCCGCGTATTCTAGACGGCGAATACATGTCTACGCCATGAAAAAGAAGGAAGGCGCGAGGAGGAATTGGCAAATTGGAGAGTCAAGTAATCATGTTGGGTGAAAGATGAATTAGTATCGATCTTTGTATATTAACAGCGGCTTCGATGGTCTTACTAGGTTTTCGGAAATCAGGCATCTTTGCAGATTCTTTGTTTGCCCATTTGCACGCCTCGAAAATCATTCCAAACCTCTTATAGCAACAGACGTATTTACGCAAGCATTGCACCTTTTCCATTACGATATCTAGGATATAACTTAAAGACTAAGGAGGTGGCAAAAAGGCTAGGGTGGGTCTGGGCAAAGTTGACACCGTGAATGCGCTAATCTGCAAGGAACCTAGGTCCTAAGTTCGATCACGTGACTCGACTAATATGACTGTAGTTAAGCGCTAATTTGCATTTTGCAGATTTTATGGCTGATTCCAGAAGCCCTCTTATCTAGAAGTTAGTTCTCTTCTATCAATTTAAGTAATCAATGTATTTTAGTCCAACTACACTATCCTAATGAACATCAGCCATGAAGCACCAGCAACGGCACAAGCCCTGGCAGCCTTGGCGAGTAGGGTAATTCAATATATGATCGATATAAATAGCTTTAGATGCTCTTTCCCCATTTTTAGGGCGTCGGCTGCCATTTTAGCTCTTCTATATTTTGTAGAAATGAAGAGAGAAATGAAGTAGAGAATTCGAAACGAACAGGATATTCTCGACAAGTTACTTCTCCACAGCGGGAAGAACCCCATTAGCCTCGGAAAGACAGCTGCGGAGGAATAGGTAGCCACAGTAGCAAAAAATGTCATATCGGATTCTTTGAGATCCTGAATCTTCTAGTCGATCTTCGCAGTATTTATGTAAGAAACGTTAAACATAGGAGGTTTCTTCACCACCTGGTCCGGAAAAAAGTCCTATAGCAAGCCGGCGTTGTCTCAAATCCTCTTCGTTCCAGAGGTTGGTTCTTCTTATGACGCCTATTGCTGGCTTTTCCCAGGTTATTCCTCTTGTAAAAGGGGAGAATGTTGAAATCACCACATGCTCCTATAAGATTCATTCTGGCTTTTCCACTTCCCTGTGCGGAGATTCCGCTCAACATCGCTGATCCAGGTTACGTAGTCCTTTGGTGACGCTTCTATTAGCTCTCAGCAGACTCCAACTGCGGCGCTGGCACACCTGCCCTCGACATGCAAATCATCATTTTCATTTTGCACCCCTAAACCCCGTCAATTAGAAGCATCCCTACCGTGTCCACGTCACACAACCCACCTCAGAGTCCCTGCCTCCACCCTGTAGCTGTCGGGCACCTAGGTGACCTGCTTGTCCTCCAAGCGTACCCATTCACCGAGCGTCTATAGCTCCTTGACAAGAGGGCGTTTTGAGCACCATGTTGACCTCCGATAGTTCTCGAGAAGCGAGTAGAGGTTAATAAACGCACAAAGCAGAGAAAATTCAGTGTAAAGTTCCTTTGACGGCAGTTTCAGTTCGCCTAGCCTAGTACATCAAACATAAGGGTGCTCGTTCACCAAAAAGTGGCAAGGGTCAACTGATTCTTACACACCTCCCCTATGCACCCTACCCAACACCATCTCAATACGGATCCCCATTGAACATCGGAATGACAGTAATGGCTTTCACTCTTGGCTGAAATGGCCTACAAGTCCCTGCTTCCGCTTCCAGGATCCTCCCAATAGGCTGCTCTTTACACGCCTCATCTGGATACGCGATCAGCTCCCACGCGCCCTCTCCCATCCATTTCAGGACTTCAAACTGAAAGTGATCCGGCTGATTCAACGATAGTATCTGGCAATGGATAGGTCCCCCAAACCAGAAAGGCTCGTCGAAGTGCCAGTACGTTCGCTTATTCTCGCACGAGGGCGAAATGGTTTTGCACCAGTCCTGAGTTGAATTTTTGGAATCTGGGCAGGTGGCAATTCCATTGACGGCGTACTCGAAATCAACGGGAATGGGATAGCTGGACGAGGTGCTGGGAGGTTTGGGTGCGCCGTTGATGTCGGAGAGGAGGTGGCCATTGTAGACACTGATGTGCTCATCTAGCCTTAATGTTAGCGGTTACGAATGTCTATGATTCAAGAGGTAAGAACGAACCGAGACTGAGTGTAGTGTTTATCAGCCGGCCAGCATGGGATTTGCATTGGCAGTTCAGGCTCCCGTCTATGAGCTTACACTCGTAGCACGATAGCCACCATTGACCCCTAGGTTGCATTAGACTCCAATTACCTACACCTAGGGATAGGAGGATCTGGCTTACTTGGGGTCCCACTCGAGATTACCGTCATTGTTTGTGATCTTGTTATCTAACCACACAGCGCTTTGGATCCGGGTGGTGGAATCAGTGCCCGTGAGGCAATCTGCAATTAACCATTGTGCTCGTATCAAAAAGTTAATGCATTGGCTACCAATTGGGCCCGCTATTGCGCTTTGAGGGAATGTTGACGGAGCGGCGTACACAGAGGATAAGGAAGCGAGCGACGTTAGGACTAAGATGTGCTTCATCATTGTATGTAGAAGGTTAGACTTGAAGCTATTGTTGCCAAAGGAAAGGAGTGTCGAGGATAAGCCCGCAATTTATGTCGAGCAAAATATCATTCCCGCTCCTATGGTGAGGTCTCAGGCGGTTTCTAATCTATGAAATCCTACAAACTTCGGATATGTAGCCTCCTCTGGAGCAAGTATTTGAATTGAGTTCTCGCACGGACAGCTACCAATGATGCATGTGAGATCTCGTAGCATAGCGCGATGTTATTGGCCTAATAGTCCCCGCTGATGGGCTGCATACCGTCCCGTACAGGCAAAGTGGGGGTGTGTGTATTTATCCGTGGAGCGTCACGTGTTCGATATCTTGAGAATATATTGCGGTCCCAAATCCGCAAGACATGGGAGGTCGTATGAGACGAAAAGGATTCGCGGTCGAACCAGATATTTGTCAACGGGAACGTTGGGGCCTGCCTGTTAGATGCTCAAAGGATCTGGTTCATAGTAAGTGGCGCAAAATCAATAGAAAATTCGGATCTTTAATCTTCAACGTAAGCACATATACGGTGTTGTAGATCCTTTGCAAAAATTCACGACTAATTAGTGGCAGAGTCGAAGAACCCTTGAAAAATCAATGATGTACATAAACTCAGCGCGTTGAAAATCCCTGTCTCATCTTTGAGGATCATCTATGAATACCGAAATATTTTGATGCGTGGACATTTTGCGCGGTCAATTTTGTGGCATAAATACTCTTCATTTGAAAATAATTCTCATCACTTATCTGTTCTAAGAATACATCGTTCTTTCTGACTCTTCTCTTCTTCGCAATCTCGTACCTTGGATTCGGCCCTGTCAATTTTAGGGCGTAATGGCTTTGTTGATCTCTCCCTATGTTGATCTCGCCCTATGTTGACCTAGTACTCATACTAAAGCGAATTGTAGAAGCACTTTACAACTTCCTCTCTGCGCCAATGCACTGGGGAGAGTCAACAGCTTTGGGTATCTATAATCTGAGTACCGGGAGAGCTTCAGCTAGCTTTCGCTCAATGCTTGATCCGCCCGATCACGAATTGTTCACCTCTTTTTCTTGAGGTTGGCACCCTACCATTGTTGTCGTCGATCTCCAAGAAATGGAAGAGCTTGTAACTAAACATCTCCATGACGCCAACCGAACGCCTCTCATATACGACTGCTTTGGCGTGCTGGCCCCAAATGCAACGATAGGCATGCCAACGAGTCATACTTGCAAACAGCAACGTCGACTTTGAGACTGTATTCTATCGCCCACTTTTTAACGTGAAGCCGCTGCAATACGTTTCCATGAGACCGTTATTCCGCTTCTAAATTAAGGCCACCACAAAGTCGATTTACTTCCTTTGAGCATCTGATAGTTAGATCATTGAAAAAATCGGGTAAATTCTGATCGAAATATTACCAAGTCTCACCTTCCGAGAACGCGACAGCTTAGTATACATCCACAGGCCTCCTTTGCACCAGCGTAAACCACTGGCATAAATCACCAGCACACGCGGCCTACATGCAGCACCAAATCACCAATCCAAATGAGCACCAAGCACCAGCAAAAACTTTCCCAGAACCTCAAAATTATCGGCTTCTGAACACCCGATTTCCTTCTCCACGTCCCAGTACTACGTTCAGCATCCTGCATCCTACAACTACAGCTACACCTTAATCTCCTACACCCTCTATTCTATCCATTCCTCACACCATGCTCTTCTGCCCTCTCTTCAAACGCCGCCCAACCCCTCGCAGCCATAGTATAATCATCGACACCCAAAATAACCCGTTCCTCCAAACTTACCGCTGTGAATGGTGCAAAAAGGGCACGCCATGGACAGAAACTACAGCAAATGCGCTAAGTGCTACCAGAAGTCCCTGCGAAAGACATTTATCTCAACTGATGAAAATGCGGACAGATGTGGGTAAAGGGATACTGTAATTATCATGTCTTCTGCGTCTTGGTTTCTTGTCCAACTTTGAAGGGTGGCTAATTATGGCGTGCAACGCCACCTCGCGCCATGGAAAGGGGGGAAGGGGCCTCAATCAACCTTATCCATTACCACTATTCATAATTCAAACTTCCTAGATATCTTCACAATGGTTTTTATTAATCCTTATCCCATTCCTATAAACAACTACAACCCCATCCCCTGCTTAGAACTACTTCCTAGACCTTGCCACTAATCTCGCGCCCTTAATGCCCTTCTAGAAACCCAAAGTCAAAACTCCGCCAAGTCTCAGGGAGGTTGTAGAGCGAGCATCTCCACGCCTAGAGAAAGTGCTGCCCAAATTGTTCCAAGAAATATTTAATGGAGATATGGATACTACAAATGTATCGATTGTTACAAGTCCTTGCTGCATAGTATGATTGCGATTAGGCGGGTTACGTATTGAATTGAATTATGGACGATGAATTTGGAGTAGGTGGCGGAATCCTCACATGGCGAAGGCGCCACGGATTTGAATACGTAGACGTAGGTGATCACTCTCTTTCGAGGGCTATTGTTGTCAGTACAATTCTGCGATGCGCTGGACAGGATTCTTATCTCTTACTCTGGCTCTTCTTCAACGATGCGTGTCAAAGGACACGGCGTAGGAGTGTGCTTTCTCGAGCGATAGAGCATTATCTTCCTGCAACACGGATACTCGCCGATGTGTCTCGGAATCGGGCGTCCCTTTTTACCAGTTCTATTTTGCTTACCATTCTACCATCCCTTCAGCCTACACCTCCATCCCCAACAGCATTTCCATGCTCCTCTAACAATTCCTGTGGAACCATCTCGCCCCTCTCATCTCCCCAAACCGCCTTGTTCAGCCTCTTAATCTCGGTATCCAACTTTTGCCTCTCAATCATCAACCTCTTAATCCTAATTTTCATCCCCTCTTTTTCCATATGGCTCAGCGCCCTACTCGCCTCCTCCACACCCTGTGACTCTGTTATCATATCCTGCACCTGTCCCTGTTCCTCGCCCGAAGAATCAGGGGTGATCGGATCTGACAAAAGAGGCAGAGAACCAAGGTTCGCTATCACGGGGGCGAGATTCGACATATTGATATTGAGCGGAAGATTCAAATTCCCGATCCCACTGAGCTGATTCGCCAGAATCGGATCGAGGAGACCATCACCCTGGCCCTGCATTCCTTGGATCTGACTCCCACTCCCATGTTTCTCTCTAACATGTTCCTCCAACCCCAACAACGTCGCAAACCCCTTACTTTTCTTCCTCCTCCAACATCCCTTATCTGGACAACTATACACCTTGTCACTATGATCATGACTCTTCAACCCATGCACACTCCGCCTATGTTCCATCAACGTCTTTATATCCGGAAACGCGGGCGCATTGCAACCCTTAAAATTACATGTCGTGTAATTCTTATACTTATCCATCTGCTTCTTAACCTCCGAGATATCCTGCCCCGGATACGCTTTCTTGAGCGCGCCATTGAGAATGTTTTGGACCTCCTGACGCGACAAATATAAACCCCCGGCATCTTTTAATGCATCTTTTTCAGGGTCGCCGGCTGCAGAAGTGTCTCGCAGGAATGCGAGAATGCCTCCAGCTTCCCAGGACTTGAAAAAATCATCCAGCACAAGGTTCCGCACGCCGGTATTCCGCTTAATCGAATCAATATGTTCGAGGGTATGCGAATGGCCCTCGCCCATGCGTTCCACAACCCTACGACCATCGGGATACAGCGTCAGCCTAAACTTTGCCTTGCATGTCCCGCCTTCGCGCCTTTGCCGGGGTCGTGAGTGCTCGTGAATCACCGGCGGTGGGAAATTGGTCTTGCGGTTTAGTCGACAGCCGCCGTAGATCTTAGCGATGCCGGTGGAGGAGGACGGGTGCGGTTTCTGATGCACGCACCAGACATTATCGATGTATGGCCAGAAGCGGTCCCAGACGGCGGGCGTGAGTTGCACGGGGGTGTCAAGTGCGAAGAGGAGTGCGCGGTGGGTGGCGATGTCAGTGGGGATGTTGTTGAGGGGTGAGACGGCGCCGGCCGCGGGTTGAGAGCGGAAATGTTGGGCTGGGGGGGATTGCGGAGGATTGCGGGATAGGGTGGGGTTGGAGGCGGGCTGAATTGGGACGCTCATCTTGGATGGTGGGAAGTTAGTGGGAAGTGGGCTACTGGGATGGGAGCTGACGCGGGCATGGGAGTCGAGACATTCACAATGGAGAGTGGCAGTTGATGGTGGGATAAAGTTTCGAGGTTAGAGCTTGACGTCTGGGACTGCTAAACGACGGAAGGAACTTGGCACTGGAGCTTGGGCCAACAAACTCCATGGAAGCATGCGGGGTGAAGGGTGATATCACGCCCTGGGAGAAAAAAAAAAAAAAAAAAAAGAAAAACCCCAGAATGAGCACTCAGCCAGATATTCCCGCTTTCAATCCCCCTCAAGCCTGTGTATTTGCTACATACAACCTACCCCTCACCATGTCAGAGCGCTACACCAAAGCCATCTCGGCCATCGACGCCGCACACGCCCTCGACCCAAACAAAATCACCATCTCTGGGAAAGAAATCCCCTATGAACTCCACTACGCCCAAAAATGCACTGAATACCTCGCAAAACGCGCTCCAGAGGCCTCCGAGCCCCTCCGTCTCGCAATCCGCGCCCAGCACTTCCGCCGCTGGGAGGTACCCCGCGATTCCTACCCCATGACGCGCGTTGGCTATCATGCATGGCGGACATACCTCAAACAGCGACAAGCACAACTAGTGCAATCCATCTGCGATGAGTGCGAGTACCCGATAGATTTCAGCAACAGGGTTCGTGCGTTGATCCGGAAGGAGGACTTGAAGCAGGACGAGGAAACGCAGGTATTGGAGGATGTGGCGTGTCTGGTATTCCTGGATGACCAGTTTGAGAAATTTGAGAAGGAGCACGACGAGGAGAAGATCATTGCGATATTAAAGAAGACGTGGGGGAAGATGACGGAGAAGGGACATGAGTTGGCGTTGCAGATACCCATGAGTGGGAGACCACAGGAGGTGTTGCAGAAAGCGCTTGCCGGGTGAAAATATTTCATTTGAAAATACTACTATACATTAAGAGTACTTCTGGGCAAGTGCCCCTCCTCGAAGTTCAGATATCATTGATTCAACCGGCTTCTAGATTTGTTGTGGTAGTGAAAGTGGTGTTGGCCTCAGTCAACGCGGAATTACGCTCCGCCTTCCCTCTTCGCGTACTCCTCCTCGATCCTCTCCTCATACAGCCTCTCTGCCTCAAGTTCCGCGTCAGTCTTCTGTTGATGGTTCGTCGACGCTACACCCTGTGTAGATTGGTTGGATACTTCATGGGCCGTCTGGGCGGTTGCTGAAGTTGTGGTTTGAGTCGCCGAGGATTCCGTCGACGCGGATGGAAGTGGGACCGGCATGTTTGAGAGTGTTCGGAGTGCGTGGTGCGTAGAGGTACAAATTGTCCAAATAGAAAACAATTGCTTAACTTGTGTTGTGTTCTCAGTTCCGAAGCGCCCCTGCCTAGTCTTATATATGTTGGCTACCTTGGTGGCGGGGCTGCGTCATTGCTAACATGTGGCGCTGCAAGTGTGGCGCTTGCACAAATTATCGCAACTCGATTTTCCGACTTTGCCCGACGTAGCCAACACTCGCATGGACTGTCACCCGAAGATTCTCGAAGATACCGTTCGTTTCTTGGAGGTCAAGCCCGAAAAAGACGTTCAAGGCATTGGCGTGTGGTGACGCACAATGTAGTTCGGAAATGGTGATGCCAAGAGAAGTGCGGGTCAACCGGCAAGGAGTCCGGCACTAGTCTACATTCGATTAGAGGCACTTCAGGACATTCAGCGCAACCGCGTGGAAGCCCATGATATTGCTCCAAGGATTGGACACAATATTAATTTGGGTCCGCTTCACACCGACAATGAGTACCGGGATCCCTCCAACAACTTCTGGCTTGAGGTCTTTGCTAACGCCTGAACGGCTGTTGTCAATTTTCAAATTGGGAATACCATGGCCCAAGGACGTACAACTGAATGGCCAAGTCTGGGCAGAAAAACCCGATGAATCAACCTGGCGGCTAGAATGTTGGGATGCTCTCGTTGCTATTAGCAAATTAGGCCTTAACAGCGTGCCGGACATGATGTCATTTCTCCCCGACCCGTCCAGCGATGACTTCCCTGAACAGGCTCTAGGTATAATGCTGCTACTCGACCAGGCGCCGAGGCTGGTTTGCGAAGGGCTTGATGAGAGATGGCGCAACGACTATTTCGACCATTTAGCATTAAAATTTGCCAGACAACTCCACATGCTTCCTCGCGACCAAGGGATTGAGACGAAAGATCGCTGGATAACTCGAAGCGGGTACACCTTTGAGCATTGGACCGCGCTACGCATCTTCATTGCCGCGCCGTTTGCTCATGCAGAAAACATGGAGTGCCAAGATATCCAGTCTTCCATGGCCCGCGAGCTCCGCCGCGAAACCGCGGACCACTACAACGCTACGGACCAGTACCACGCCAAGGATCCACACTTGCGTGATTCGCGAGACACACTTGCTTTCGCGAGGATCGCGGGAACTGGGGGAGCAGATAGTGATGAAGTTAAGGATCACGTCTTTTGGTATTGCTGGATCATGGATGCGCATCCGCCTATTATTCGTGTATTTGGACGCTATCCATATCGGAATGCAGCGGTGGGGCGGGAGAGTACGGAGGAGGAGAAGAAATTCCTGGAGAAGACGCAGCACTTTGGCGAGCTTTCTGATAAAGAGGCGGCGAACAAAATTATGAAGGATGTTAAGGAGGGTCAATGGACTCCTCTTGGGGGTTAAATTAAGGGTTGTAGAGGGCAGAAAATCTAGTCTTGGACGATAAGGCTCGATGCAGGAGAGTCGGCCAGCTTGGCCGAGCTCCGCTCCCACAAGCGTGGAAGCGAAGGCATGTATTTCGGAATGAAATGCCTTACCGACCTTGGGCTTGACTTCACACAATACACAACCTCTCCCATAACTCATGCCCCCTGCAAGGTTACAGTTGTTCAAGGCGTAAAATTGAGCCTTCTAATGCTGCAGCCGGGCAGGAATCGGATTTCGCCGAGATAAAAGGCCTTGAGAGCCTTGTTGCTCACTTCACATGCAAGCTGGGCAGGCTGTGCAGGCTGTGCAACCCAAGTCTGCTTGTCATTGGGCGGCGCAAACGGTCTCCATCAGCATACCACTGACCAGATGCCTTCCAGACTTTTTAGGAGCTGTTTCTTCACCGAGAAACTTCCTGCAAGTGACATGGGACAAGCGTTCCAATGGATGCACAATATCATAAATGGGGTTGGACTTTCTATGACCTTATACTCAGACACTCCAAGCCCGTGATATCGTTGTTGCAACTGATCAGAGAGGGAACCAGTTGTCATTAGCAAAGTCTGCCATTGCAGCCCATCGTAAAGCCATCAGATTTATAATAACCTTTCACTTTAGTTTCTTTGAGGAAAAGTAGCAACCGCTTGCGTCTAATGAGCTAGAGAAGAGACATCGGGACATGCGCTAGAAGGATCGATCTTGACACTGAAGAGTAACTTTGCAGACCCAGGGTAGAAAACGCCCCGCTTGCCACAATCATGATGTGGCTTATTCATTGTGGGGAATGTAAATTTGAAGTGTTCCATGATTACCATAAGGTTCCTAGGTATGCTATTTCTTCACACACTTAGCAACGAGACGCAAACGGCAACCAAGAAGATGCGACATACCAGGACTCGTAGGCGCGACTCTAGGGAAATCAACGAAGCCACGCAGGCGGCCGGGAGAAGGTTAAGAAGGCTCGCGATGCTGCCTGGGAACTCAATATCGGATGTATTCGGATCGACAGCATCAACAAATGGACATCCCAGAGCATACGGAAGCGACCAACTCCATTTATCAATGGTATGCGCAACCATGAGTCTGGTTTGCATACTTGCGTGATCTAGATAAGACTGGACTTGGTCCTTGCAGGTAGTTCCGCAGAGAGTGGACTTTGCAAGACCTGATCGCTCCATCCAAATTTTTCTTCTACAACAAGCTCTAGACCTATTGCGATAGTAATGATGGGTATGGAATAGGAGAGATTTCCGACGGTTCCTGGGATCTCGGCGGCCTAATCGCCCGAATTTCAGAAATTGACAAAGATCTTCTCGGAAGAAATGACAGCCTTCGAATCAAACGCGATAAAACGCCAAAGATCTAGACGACAAGATGCACAAGCAACGACATACGCATGCGGTGCACGGTACAGTCTCATAAGATATTGACTGATTGATTGTATCCTGCGCCGTTTCAGCCGCGATCTCAGCAGCTATCCCTGGCTGGCAGGGTTGATAGATAGCAGACGCCTTGCGGGAACGTTACACGTCGCTGATCCTCACTTGCCTAAGATTTGTATCTACTCTACAAATCTGATGGCTCCAGTAGCTAGCTATGTGGATGGCCCGAAGGTTAGGTTGTTTAGGAAGGTTGCCGAGCACCTGCTAGCGAAGGTCCTTACGGATCCTACAGCGGATGTGGTCGACCGTTTGCTACGTCTCTCTATACCATCATCGCGGGCTGGTGATCTAATATTCTTTTGTCGAGGAAGTCATTTAGAGTAAAATTTCCCACAAGTAGTGCTCTTATAAAGCAGTATCCAGATAGATTATATACATTTAGTCAATTTAGCAACGTTGGCTTGTGGGTAGATTACATGTAAGATTAACGCTTTGATCTCTAACCCGGTATGTGGGGATGATCACATAACAGGCCCTGGACCCCTGATCCGTACTAGTTTGGCCAGCACGACAGATTTTTCCTCTTGTGCTAGTCACACTTATACAAATGAGTAACCCCCGCTGCGGGCAATCCTCTACTACTAACAACACTATGCTACTAGTAATCTTGCGAGCGAATTGCCCGCATTACAGTAGTGACAGCAACGTCCTGCAATAAATTCCAAAAACATAGATTATAAATCGCCTAACCCTCCCTATCCTGAGCTGTTCCAGGGGGCCCACATCCGGACCTTGGCCCTGCTTCTTGCATCATGGCCTTGTTCACGGCCCTATTTTCAAGCTTATGGCCAGCCGCACTGAGAGCCCAGTCAAAAAGAGAGGCCAGTCAAATTAAGACGTCAAACGTTGAGCGAGGCCAGTCGAGCAGGAGGCCAGCCAAAAAGGGAGGTTAGTTAAAAAGAAGGTTAGCCACTAGTTCGAGTGGCCTCCTGTGTACTCAGCTATCGCAGTGAGCCGCCGCTATTTATCCTAAGGCTATATTTGTCCTGGGCACCAGTTATCCTCAGAGGCTACTAGTGCTACACACAATGAGACATATTCAGCGCTGATACTTTCAGTGCCACATCCTTAATCCCTATTTTGGACTTTACGATCTTCATTGCGACAGTCTTTCGGGATCCGTGGGCAGCGTTGACTTACTGTGCTTGCCGGCAAATTGCGAAACCTCCACGACCGAGCTACTTCTCCATTTGGTACTGTAGCCCAGCAGGGTCACACACCGGCGCGGGAGGTGAGTCGGCGTAGGTCGTCAGCATTTTGGGTCTAGTGTTGAGCCTGTGTTGTTTGCTGTCTTGAACGTCTGCTGGACGCTCGCGCAGGCTGAAGGTTTGGCCGCACTCGAACAAGGAGTCTTCCGGTAATAGAGGTAGTTACCCTGGGTCGAGCCTATTACCTCCGCGGTGCTGCTCTATAGCTTCTTGAAGGTCGAACAACTGAAGATTCAGGCCCTACTTGCATGCGGTTGCAGTGGTGACATGTACTAGACGTATGCCGTTAGCGTAGACGCCACATGTTGCGATCAAATGCTCCTTGTCTGTTGCATGTGGCATTGGCTCACGTGATTCTGAACCATATGAGCTAGTCCTAACGAAGAATTAGCGCGGCGCCTGGATCTGGAGGTACGTGCAACGAATCACTATGCGGTACCAGCTACACGTGTCTTTATCCGCATATATGGATCCGTATTTTCTTCTGCTGTGCTTGGTGGGAAGTTAACCTTTTACCACTTCTGAGCCAATTCATGGCACGGACAGATAGCGCGAGGAACTTTCGCTCGCTCGTGTGATCTGAAATACAATATCCCATACCGTGCAGTGTTCGGTGAACAGAAAGGTACATATGAAAGTTGAATTACAAATGTTAGGCGGACTTCCTTGGTCCTTCCTCGTCTTTCCTACTCTTTCAAATTTCTTCAAAACGGGTTGTCCAAATTTCCACCTCCTCGACTCGCACAACCTTCGTCTTATGCCAGAACTTGTAGCCGACATAGAACCTAACAAACATAGGAAGGAGGATATTAGCAATCACGAACTTTGAGATGGGAATGTATTGAAGAAACATGTGTTATCTGTCGGGGCATGCAATCGATATTACATCGCTCCTCGGACCCTCGTTGCACAATACACGACTTCCCTGATAACTCATGCCTCCTGCAAGGCAACAGACACCAAAGTACCTTGGAACGAGAGGTCATCACACCCTGTCCCTGAGCGTTAAGGGCGTGTAGGAATCGAAATTGTACTAGCTCAATGACGCTTCATAAGGGGTTCTAGATGAGGAAGGAATACGATGCAGATAAACATGTTGGTGAATACAGACGCGGCCCAAAGAATGCCATGTTTATCTGTCTTGCCCTCACTTGCATTTACTCTCCGATAATTCTTAATGAAGTGACACCCACGTGCGAAACCTCTCTAAGCTCTCAGATCAAGTGTTTCGTTCGAGCTCAGAATGACCACGTCTAGTTACCTATCTCAACTCCGCGTTTTCATTTGCCACAAAATCATTGTAGAGCGTCTGCTTAGGCTGAACTGCTGTTGAGGGAGCTGTGCTTCGGATGACTGCAGCAACCGAAGCAGCGTGAGTAGCTGGCTTATACAACGTCAGCTCGCTGCTTGTTGCTGCAGCATTCCCCATATCACTCAGCATCGAAGTGAGATCAATCGAAGAGAGCGTCTCCTTAGCCAACCATCAGCTCAAATCTTCCCATTTTAGTATAGATTAAAACCTACCGAGCCACTCCAGAAATACGAGCATACTGAGTATCCTAAAATATTCGACTCCGCCGCCGTTGTTCGCTTACACGATATATTCCCATTGTACTGACACTCTGAGACAAGCGAGTAGATTGGGGGCTGGCATATGCAAGAAACGTAGGACATGCTCGACATAGGCAGGTATGTCTGCGAACATTTGTTTGTTTCGTAGTCGCCGCTGACGCAGCTCTGATGTAGCCTTTGGCAAGCATTAAAATCATAGGTTGCGGTCAGGGAGGTCACAGGGGGTGTAGTGAAGGAAGTGGCGACACGTGAGTCGCATGTTTCATGCCAGTGTTCGACGCGGTAGTCGAATTGGGAGTCGAACATATGAGATTCGAGGCACCGCCGTACATCGTCTTGACACCTGAGAAAATTAACAAAGGGCAGAAGGTATTGGATGAGGGGGTATAGGCATTCTCCAGCCTTGTGATACTAAGATGTTGACTTACGCGAAGATCGATGAAAGCATCTCCTGAGTACAGTAGCAGTCTAGTTTCTCATTTTCAGTTTTCTTCGCGCTGCATTCGTCTTCTTTGTCCGTCATAGCTATGCACCCGGAGAGTTCTTTCAGATGCGACGACGGTAGGCAAAACTCAGCTGGTGGCACAATGCCTGAGTTCGCGACCTGCCAAAGTGCCCCAAGGACTAACAAGTGAATAACTCGAATCATACTGAGCTAGATTCGACTGTCTGGATTTCAGAGAGAAAGGGTCGAGAAGGCGAAGAGGGGTACGTGGACAGTGGAGAAGTCTTCCTATTTTTCTTTTGACACAGCCTCGTTAATTACAACGCCACTATCGCTTGCAGCAAGTTCCTATGGACGGAAAACGCCTTTGGCGTCCTTGAGGGCGTCTATACCACCACTTGCGTGTTGATAGCATATTAGCAGACATTTCAGGTCCCTCGGCGTTTTTCTGAGGTCGTGGCAACCTGAAACCCTTCGGCTTTTTCAGTGAGATAAGATTCTACTCTTTCGACTAAACTCTATATCGAGACGATGAACCCCAACATGCCAGGTCCTATATCGAGAACGCAAACTGCACCGCTAGATGGTACTCTTGCTGTACCACTTTTGCGGCAAGTCTCGGCCGCCAGCTCATTTGGCCCATCGTCACAAACGTCCGCCAGTAGCAGCATACCATTACTCCAAGACCTCGCGTCGAATAACCATGCGATTCCAGCCACCATTCAAAGCGGATGCGCTGACGGAAACTCCAGCCCGGGGAACACACAAACATTATCTTCCCACGTACCAACAACTCTAAACACTCTGGATGGGACTCAAAGTCATCGAAATGGGATTGGACCAAATCCTTTATCATCGCCAACTACCAACCAATCTATCATTGTCCCGCGCAACAAAGACTTCAAGGAATGGCGTTCATGGAAGATCCACTGGCTGTACATGGCCCTCCTCCTTCTCATTGTCATCTTCTTCATCATCACAATCTCCACCCTGACTGTTATCTCCCGTCGAGACTCCGGCTTCGCCAGAGAAAGCCAACCTCCCGGCTTCCTCCAGCGTAACCCGGAACTGCGGAAAGCTATCTGGGAACAAGGCATTTTCTATACTGCGATTCCGGCTTTTATTATGACTATTTACCGGACGATGTGGGATGCTAGCGTGATGGCGTTCGCTGATCGGCAGCCGTATGTGGATCTTTTGAAGCAGGGTGGAAGGTCCCCAAGACGAACAATATTGCTTGATTATAAGATGGAGCCTATATTATATAGGTGGATAATTGCCTTCCGGAATAAGCACTTTCTGCCGTCGGCTTGCATGCTTTCTTCGCTGGTGCTGTCGTTCGGCATAGTACCACTGACGTCGTTCCTCTTTAGGATGGATTCTTCGCTATCAAACTCAACCTTCCCACTATCGATTGACACGTATTACAATGGGACTATCGAACCACAGATTCCGGCCTTTAGGAACGAGCCAAGCGTCCGAATGGCACTAGATACTGCTGCAGGTTTACATCTGCATAATCTGAGCTTACCACCACGCACTGACGGGACCTTTGCCTTCCCACAGTTTACCCCACGAGTCGATTTAGGAATTAGCAACATTCGCCTTAAAATTGCAGCCTATGGCGTCAATGGTGACTGCATAGAAATCCCCGAGTCGGAGTATGAGAAAAAAACCCAAAGACTGGGCAGCTCAACAATCTCAATTCAGGTCAGTGCTATCGACCGCATGTGCGCTATATCAAACGCAATCAACATTCGAACGAACCCATGGAGCCCGGATATTTTCATGACGTCTTGGTATACGCCGACTTGTAGCACGGCAGCCTTGACCCGCTTGAGCGTTTTGGCCGCACGCTACGACAAAGCCTCGCAAACCATACAAACCCTTTCTTTGCTGTCGTGCAAAACTTCTTACTTTGTCAGCTCTGGAGAGTTAGTAGCAAGTTCGGGACCTGGAATGGGTTACAGCTCGCTGAGTTTTGAAGAAGACCGCGAGAACCGGGCGGAACTGGACTGGCTCCAGATTTACCCTTTGAGGAATTTCCTAGAGAAGGAGGTACACAATCTGAGATATTTCGACGGAGGGGAGACAATTGATGGGAATGAATTCGTCAAGTATGTTTACCGCATGGCGCAACAGGCCAGTCCGGACGAGCCGATGCGGCCGGAAGCTCTCGTCAACTCGACGCAGATCCTATTCGAAACCGTGTACGCGGTCTTCGCTAGTATCTACTCGTTCAAAGACCGCAACACCCCTCTCAATGAAACTGGCATCTATATGATTGAGGAGAAGCGGTTGTTCGTAGTGCCTGTCGTCGCTTACGTTTTGCTCGGGGTACTTGGTACTACCCAGCGTTCCCAACCGTACGTAATACGTTTCAACTCGCTGTTTTTTAGGCTGTAACTTCTTAGTTTGTTAGTACGTTTTAATGTAAAGGGAGAATTTAAATCCACTTACAGGGCGTAACTGTTACAGCTTACAATCCTCCTACGTTTTAACAGCTTATAAGATGTTATAGCATATACAGTCTACTAAGTCCCTTATTTTACTGTAAATATAACTCTGCTAGAGCTAGTTTTTCTGCAGTTAAAAAGCCTTAATTATTAAGCTAAAAAGCTTATTTTTATTATAAGTAATAATTCTTCTACTTTTAAAAAAGAACCTCTTATAATTACAGCTTATAAAAAAGATAGATAAGAAGTTAAAAGTAATTTTATATAGTATAAAGTAAAAAAGTTGTCTAACTTATTTCTACTAAGTAAAAGAGTTAGTAAATAAAAGGCTGTTATTATTAGCTATAGTAACATCTTTATAGTAGCTGTTATAGTACTACTGCAACTCTGTTGTTTTCTACTACTTTTTATATAAGCAGCTGCTAGTAAGGAGGCTTATGTTAATAAAAAAAGTTTTTTTAAAGCTCTTATTATAATAGTTGCTACTAGGTAACTTGTGTTGTGTAGGCTTTTAAGTAACATTATTATTATTAGCCTTAGCCTTAGCCTTTGCATTAATATACTTTTAAAAAATAGCCTTTATTAAAGCTTTAGCTTTTTTATGCTATATAAAGTGCTTTCTTTAATAGTCCTTAAACTAAATAAGATAAAGTTAAGAGTTTAAGATTATTACTATATAGTAATAAAATATAGGTAGCTTAATAATAAACTTTTTCTAGTATGTAAGCAACTTTTTTATACTAAATGCTACACTAGATTTAAGGTAGTAATTATTACTCTTACCTTTAAGTTTATTGCCTATACATAGGAGCTTAGTATAGAGGTGTTGTAGGTTAATAATAGACATCTAGAAAGAGCTATAAAAGCTGTTACCCTTAAAGTGTTTTATTATAAAGTAAAAGACTTTAAAAAACTTATAAAAGTAATTAACCTTTTTTTATTTATTTTTAGTAATAACCTTAGTAAAAGTAGAGTTACTAAAGATAGTAAAGTTTATAAAGTTATTATTAGTGCTTCTTTACTTATGTATAAACTTAGTAATAGTGTCCTTAAGCTTAAAACAGCAGAGGAGCATAAGATAAACGCTGTGCTAGCGTACACTGCTGTCTTGTATAAGATTAAGCGTCCTAAAGCTCTAGAGAGAGTTGTTATTGTTAAAAGCAGCCTAAAAAGTTATAAAGGCCTTTTATTATTTATATAATGCTAGCACTATGTTTATAAAATTATAAAGTTTTTTAATAACTTTATAGCAGTAATAGAGGTTAAATTGTTTTTAAAGAGCTACTTAAGTAAGCTTTACTTTAAAAGTGCTTATCTCTTTACTATAAATAACTGCTTTTACTACTAGCTAGATTATATAGCCAGCGCAGCATATACAGTGCTTAAAGGTAAGGGGCATATTAAGATGTTAGGTAAGGGCAAAAATAGTCTTATTATTATTATTTAATATATTATTAGCTACTAAATAATAAAATTTTAACATAATTTTAAAGTTATTAATAACTTTAATAATCTTTAGCGCTTAATTTGCTCTAGTATAGTTGCTGTATAAGTTATAGAAGCTAATTAAGATGTTGTAGTATTAGTAGTTAACATCTACATAGTATTATTAGTTAGTGTTTAGTTTAATAAGAAATACTAAAACACTAAACTAATAAGCTAAAGTACACCTACTAATAAAGTGTAATACTACACTTAGAAAGGAGAGGTAGTTTAAAGAAGTTTATATATTAACACTTAACATAATTTTACTTTAAGCTATTTTTAGCATTATTTAAATCTCCTGCTTCTGCTGCGTATATCTCTGCTACATGTAGGACAAATATGTAGTGTTAGACGCTAAGAAGGTAGCAAGAAGATTAGCTTTATTTTAAGTAATAATGCTCTAAAGTTTTACTAATAATGCTATATAAAAAAAAATATTATAAAGTATTACTTAGTTAATAACTACTACTTATAAAGCTTCTTTTTACTAAACACTATAAAAGATAATATATAACAAGCTTATAACTTTATAAGCTGCTTTAAATAAACTTAAGGGGATTCTTAGCCTGTTAAGTAAAAGAGCGCCTTTACTTCCTTTACTAACATTTATTTAGTGCTCCTTTTTAAGGTAGTAGATAATATAAGTATAACTGTTAACTTTTTTTACTTCTTTATAATTACCCTTAGTGTAGCACCTTCTGTAGAGCTACAACTTTATCCTAAAGGCGTTTCTTTTATTATTATACACTAAATTAGCTTTATAAAGCTATATCTAGAATAACTAATAATTACTATATAATTAGCTTTTATGCTTTACTTAGTATTTAAGCTTTTTTAGCCTTAACTTTTTATTTTTTATCTAAACATTGTTCTACTTAATAGTAAATAATACTTTATTATTAAAAGTAAGGTTGTTTAGGTACTTTTTTATAAAAGCTAAAAGACTATTAGATAGTGTGCTATTATAAAAAAAGACTAAAGACTCTAATAATAAAGACCTTAATTAGGCAAGTTAATAAGAACTAGCGTAATAAGTAACTCTAGTTTAGTAAAAAAAGCTAGCTTAAAAGAATTCTTAGAATAAGGCTGTACACCTGCTACACTAGAGGAACTAGGACATCTAGCTTATAATAAGTAAGTTTATAAGTAATTATAATTCTTAACTAAAATTATAGGATCCTACGCCTTAATCCCCTTCTCTGCTAGCTTTTTAATTATTATACAAACTACAGAGTTTTTACTTAATTATTACTCTAAAAACATAACTTTAAACACCTTTCTAACGCGTCCTTATAGCTGTCTAATAAGACCTTATATTACTAGGAAATATTGTCTCTCTAAGACGTATTACAGTCTGTAATGGGAGCTGGCTCCTACGTACGTTACAGCTCACACTCCTCCTACGTTTCAACGGCTCACGTGACTGCTACGTTCACGTATCTACGAGTCGTAGTACGTACGGTTGGGAACGCTGGTACTACCGCTATCCTCAATGGATGCTTGTTTTATTCTGCGAGAGAGGAGTCTATGCTTAAAGAAGAGCCGTTCGGTCTTATGAGTTATGCTGGCATCCTGTACAAGAGCGATATCAATTTGGCTCTGATGAATGAGATAGTTAGTGCTGTCCATGATCCTGGTAGAGCAAGAGAAACAGGGAAGAAAATGTACAACATGGACGAGGTCACATGGTTCTATGACAAATTAGTTGGTCGAATTACCTTCAGAGGCCAGCTTGCGATGCAGAAGCTTAACGCGAACAGTGTTGTCACAAACTAACCAAAATACCTAAGCTCTAGAGCAGTTTTCGGTATCGGTAAGCGGAACACCTGCAAGTGGTGCCTAGAGCTTTAACTCTACCCTAGTTAGGTAATAACTATACTAAAAGAAGTAGTTTTGGGTGCTAAGAACACGAATAGAGGTAGCGAGCCTAGTCGCCCACCTATCCCTTTGATATACTACGTAACATTAAAGAAACGTTTGAAAACCTCTGCCCCGCCTACTTTGAATGCTCCCTATCAGCGAAGTGTCCATGCTGTTGTCGCATCACCCAATCCTTCATACAAACGCAACAGCCACCCCATTGCCGCTATAGTGTGTAGCCAGAACCTGAGCCGACAATCCCATTGCCGCCGTCAGCTCAGCAAAATCCATGAACGCAAAGTGAAGAGGAGAGAGGCGCTGGGCCAGGCCTTTGGAGGGGTGCCCAATAGATCCAAAAGCGCACGCGTGGAGGGAGTAGCCACTAAAGAAGTGCTCACCCCTGACTACTAGCAAACCTTCCGTACCGCCCATTTATAAAGTTAGTAGTTTAGTACCACTACGTTTAATGTTTTGTATTAGAATAATTGTTATATATTTTTAATACCTTTCTAGTAGTTATACTTAATAAAGTTGTTAACGTAGTTTTTACTAATAGGCTTTTTATTACACGTTTATAGTATTTTATTAGCTATATAAATGTCACGGTTATGTTACAGCTATCCAACCCCTGAGTACCCCGGGCTTGGCACGGGGTATATAGGCTCTTCGGCCTCCATACCTCTGCCTCTGACCCTAAGGTTTACTCTCTCGTTACACCCCCTATCCTGCATTCCCTCTCTGTGCCTCGTGCTTCCTGCTCGATACCTCTCACAATAATTTACGTATTGCAAAACGGATATCCACCACTAGTTTAATACCTCCGAGGAGCTGCAGCCACAAACGCAGACGCGGTGGTATTATTACATAATTTTCTAGGTTCCAACCAAGAGGGCACCGCATAGGCTCCGCAGTGCTGTGGTGTTTCCAGAACCCTCTCACTCGCTATATAGTTGCGTGCAAAATTGTCACCACCCCTGAATCACTGTTCCAGATTCTCGAAGCCATTTTATCGCACGGATCTACTCTAGATCTAGTTTAGCATCCATCATTGCAATGGGTTGTGCCCCAGGCCGTACTTCTTAATCAAGTATGGCCCTCACATTACAGTACAGTTTCTCGCCACATCGGACTTTCTCCTCCCCACATCCCGGCTCGGTTTCTAGACAATTTGGGCTTCTCCCTTTGTTTCAACCACACCGACTTTCACTCCGTATTGACGCTCATGCTGTACTTTTTATGATATAGATGGTGAATTCACATAGCCCCTTCCTTCTACCACCACCATATAGCACCGCACCATAGTAGAAGCGCTTCTCGACTGCATTAGCTAAGAACATAATTGTGAAAAGACTTGAAGCTTTACAAACACAAAATATGTGATTCATTTAGGCAAGCACAGTGTTTTGTAACGCGTATCCTAACTACCTTCCCTTGCTCTAAAGGCAGTTGCTGTTTTACCTTAAATGTTGCTAGTATATTTTGGGTCATTCTTGCTTAGCTTCTTCCTTATTCATTAATATATCTCTGTCCCTTCACCCGGAGCAAGCACATGAGGTGAGTATACTTAACAATCCCCTCTAACTGCGGGAGTGGCCGGGTTCTGGGACTTGTCATGCTGGTTCGCTGGGTTTGACAAACGAATGATGAGGTCCTTAATCTCATTGCTGTCGCGGGCCAAGCTCTTTATGGACTCGATGGTATATGCAGCGTGATTATTCAGCAGGTTCAACTCAGACTCAAGTTTCTTGTTCTCTTCCACTAAGCCACGAACCAGAAACTCTTGATTTCTTACCAGTCTAGTGAGATCTTAGTTAGTCTGGCATCAGGCTGTCAGGTGAACTTACGAAGCTACAATGGAAATCTGATGGAACAATAGTCGCGATCGAATAGTCTCCCTTTGCTGGATCTTCTTCAAGACCTTCTCTCGTACCATGTACCAACGCATCATTGTTGGGGTTGCGCCAAGACTGAGTATAGATATTATAATCGCCCAGATCAATGCTACGCGTGGATGGGTTTGAATGATCACAATCATGACGTTCGACAATCGATGAATTGCGCTTAAGCGATAGTTTCTTCGATTCTGCCATCGCTTTTGGGCCTTCTCTACCTCCTGCATCACGTCGTCCCAAGTGGTACTAGTACTTCCGGAAGGCCGCGAACCAGGCTCAATTGTTCTTAAATCCTTGCCGTAAACGTTCATACACTGAGCGAGAATGGCGAGCTCAGTTGAATATAGTTCTAATACAAGGCTCTTCAGCCGGCTAGAATCAGGATCACCACCAGGCTGCATGACTGGCTCTGCCTTCGCTACAGCCCGAGTCTCCTCGATGGTGGCTTCGACGGAGTTGACGATAGTTGCAATTTCCGTCCAGCTATTTCGTAAGGTGTTACACCGAACGTATATAAACGCACACAATGCCGCGATAAAGGTGAGAATGCCGGTAATATTGGCGGTAATAGACAGTAGGCTATCCTCCATTCTAGCCTTGCGTCGTGTTATAAGAAGATGCCAAAGTATCTGTTATTGTCTAAATTATGCCGCTCGTGCCAATATACAGCAATGCTGGGGTGGGAAGATTTGGAGTCGACTTTTTCGTAGCCTTCAGCTGCTTTCACTTCTAAGTGAGGTAAGCATTAGTCATATGGCGTCCACACAAAAAGACATCATATTTGGGAGTTCAAGTCACATGATGACGCACTTCCAACATCTGATACACGACTTGTTACGTTACCTGCTTTACCTGCTGCTTAGTCACTTGCTGCCTAACTCACTCCTATGCATATATAAACTCTTAGGCACACTCATTTAGCAATTAATTTAGTTCCTCATGCCTCTGGTGCTTCAAAGAGCTTCACATTGCAGCTCTATTAAAATAGCGGGAATGAACTGTAACAAGAAGGCTATGAATTGCAGAAAAACGCATAATCTAATCCTGCTAAACTTAACGCGGCTCATCTCAGCATGGTGGAACCTGTGCGAGGGCTTCTTTGCCAAAGCTAATATATTACGCCATGGTATTTACCGCCCATGCTTGCTTTCGTAGTTAGTTGTGGCATGCGGAATCCACAAACCTCTGTGGTGGATATGGCTCCTACATCACGGATATGTTGGACAATGACTTAAGAATGGTATAGGAAGTATCGTAAGTTTGGGAAATCTAATATTTTGATATGAACTAGTGATAAAGCGAAGTGGTGTTGTGTCAAAGAAGTGCAGCTAAGCCGGCAAAGCATGTGGAACGCAAATCAAAACGACAACACAACCGAACACTATGTTTCAAATGAGTGAGGCTTCCTCACTTGCTTTCAAGCGTATTGACCATAGTACACTACAAGCAACGAGGTGCGCGCATGCTTCAAGCTATTCAGAACTCTAAGTACCTCCAAGGCACTGCCCACTTCCTCACATCTGTCTTTTTCCACCACTATTGGTAAGCCGCACAGTCCGCAAGTCCGCACCAAAATTGCATGCAGCTGAAACCGTCCGTAACCAATTACCCTGTTGCCTTTGGCGCCGCACTGCGACATGCCTAGTACGCAACTGTTTGCGGCGTTCTAAAGATGACACTATACAGAGAATGCCCTGGAAACGTGCAGGATACCTGCAAAATCTCGGTTCAAGGCCTCTGTTACGATCGTATGCGCGAAGAAACAAAATAGCTTGGTATCCTAAATCGCGCACTGGCTAGATTGAAACGTCCTGCCAACGTGAGGCTGCTAGATACTGTCACTTATTAAACGCCCACCTCACGTAAGGCCACATAATATCGTTCAGCCTTCAGAAACGTTAGTGAGCTATAAGAGCGCCCCGTTGTAACATCCCAATAGCCCTATTCACCACCCTTTAATTCCGCCCATTCCCCGAGGGGGTAGTCAACTCTCCCCTTTCCATATAAAGCAAAACACTTCTGGCTCCATTTACAGCTTTCGATAGATTCTGGCGTTCCGAAGCCCAATCTTCTACCACTCCAACCTGTCGACCTGGGCACGCTACATATGGCCGTACTTCCAAGGTTATAAGGAATAGAGACGAGGGATGCCGCCGGTGATCGCGCTGTAGGAGGAATGAGGGTTGCGGACAACGTGTGGAAGGAACCAGGTGTTAGCCAAAGGTTCCTGGAGTATTCAGAAGGAAAGCAGCAGTGGGAGGTGGAGGCAGCGCTTTAGAAATAAGTACAGAACAAAAGATATCTGTGGGGGTGGGAACCGTTGGCACTATCAGATGGTCTGAAGATGTGTTTTGAGGAGCTGGATATGGTGCAAGGGATGCGGCGATAGTGTTTACTGTGGCGGCATTTGTGGTTTTGCTTTGTTAGATAGGATGTTGGTTTCTCCGGCCGGTTTAGTAGCCGCGAAGGCAGTGGCCTGGTGCTGCTGGTATGCGCGGCAGTTATGTGAACACGCAGACTCATACAGCCTTATCCTCTGGTCGGGCCAGCAACGATGTTTACATAGCGCTTCCAGCCAGCGTCCGCAGATATATTCAAAAGGCTATTGGAAATGGACGGTCAGTGGAAGATTTGATGGATAGGAAATGAAGAATATGACAGAATTCACTTTCTGTAGCTCAGACTTGCCTTTTACACTATTCGAGGTCATTAGCTTCAAGGCCTGCTGACACACATATCCATCTCCTCGCCGGGTTATCATACGAAAACGCGCAAGCGATTCAACAGTAGAGGTGTGTGGCAGTGTCCTTGGAACCTCCCCCAATTGGCCCGGGTTGAGAGATTTGAGCAAGCTCTAGCCCCTCTAATCATTGCCGGAATAAGAACATGGAATGATAGAAAATGGCCAACGTACCACTGCATCATGATAATACTTGAGTTCCTTTGGTCCTTCCAGTCTCCATCTTCGCTGTACGGGATCCGAACTGTATGGCACGCTTCTTCTCTGCTGCTACGCTTTTCATCCCAGTATTCCACGCAGCAAGTCTGAGGATTCTCTTCCCAGGCTCCAGGCGTCGTGAAGGGTCATCCGAGTCCGGCAAATTTCCATTTTCGAAGTCGCACTTGGCCCACACCGGGAGATCCAAGGCCAGAGCAATTACATCTTCGTCCAGGTAGGGAAACCGTACTTCTTTTCCAGAGTCACTGATCACGCGGTCATCCCTGCCTAGGTTACGCTTCCCGAGACGATCGAAGTCGAGTTCGAGTTCGTCTATGAGGCCGGGATAGCCTGTTCGTGAGAAAGCGACTGCATGGCGTTGGTAGCCACCGAATAGCTCATCTGCGCCAAGACCGGAAAGAAGAACATGTGCTGGTGTCGAGTACGGTCTGGGAGGGCTGTTGGGATTGCCCCGAACAAGTCCAATTCCCCTTGAAGCGAAGTACAGCGCATACGAGATAGAGAGATCCATTTCGGTGTTGTGGGGATGCATCAGCGTCATGACCCGGGTGCGATGTTCCATGGTTTCTGAATAGGGTACATTGATTTCAACAAACCGCCATCTCCGGTTGGGGCAGACTCTCACAAGTTCGGCATGAGACGTTCTACCAGTTATGCGATCGGGACACAGTTCATAAGGTGATTCGCCCGGGCCCAGGGTTCCATGAATGCGCGGGTTTTCGAAGGCAACGTTCAATAGATCGACGCCCGCACCAAGTGGAAGCGCATTGTGGCTGAGGCGGGCAAGCAAAGTGCAATCGAGGCCACCAGAGAAGAGAATAGCAATTTTAGTATCCGATTCAGCCGAATCTATGACGGACTCTCGAATGCGTCGGATTCGAAGCCAAAGTGATTTGGCCAGGCTTCCAAGTAGGCGCTGCACGTTGAGAAGATCAGGCTGATGAGGTCCATCAGGGACGGATTTGTTCAGTGAGGGGAAAGGCAACGGCTAGCAAAATCAGCGAATAGGAATGGACAAAATTCAACTCACCTACTAGGGCCAGCCCGGGCGCGGCTTCATTTCCTGATCGACAGTGAGGGATGCGTATGGGTTCCAGTTTTTGTGTTGCAGCGCATTTTAGGTCTAGGACATACAATCCATCGGCGTCGACCTCGTGCCATTGATCTCCACTCGCGTTGTCGCACACACTGGACAAGATCAATTCACCAACAGAGGTTGACTTTTGTAGAAGAGAACGCCTCCCCAGACAGTCTCTGCCATAGTAGAGGCAGGAGTTCTGGGCGTCATAGAATACGAAGGCAAAAGGGCCTCGAATGGTAGACACAGCCTGGACCATTTGTCTAATCGACGAGCTACTGCTGTCACGTGAAGCGTTGGAGGACGCCTGAAGGAACAAATCGAAAACAAGCTGGGAATCATTCCCTTCCACGAGATCCGGGCCTATCTTCCATGCCTCACCATTCCAGCAGAGCACCGATTCAGCGCGTTGATCCCTAAGTGGCTGGGTGGTAATATTGTTGCCGCGGAGTGAAAGGACTGTGGAGATGAAGGTAGCACGGAGCTGGGGTAAAACTAGAGCCTGGTGTTTTCCGAAGCTATCAGGGCCACGGTTCATCAGAAGGCGCTCAGTGCTGGAAGTTGGGATCAAGTGGTCAGTGGGACTGAGGGAGAAAAAGATGCCGCACATGGCAGTCGTGGGGTATTGAAGGAGTAGGTGCGAAGCAGCTGGAGAGTGTGGCGGAATTTTCACGGCCCTAATCCTACTGGGGTGCTAGCGCCGGTGGCTGGGGCGATTCGGTTCTAGGATGCCGAGCCGAGTGCATGCGGCCCCAAACACTACTGGCACATCAAAACAGCGCAACACTGCCTCAGTTAACTTCCACTCCTCCCACGCGCCCTGGAACCGACCAACGAGCTTCCTTCCTGTCCATGGACGCTACCTGACCTGAGATCGGCCTCTCTCACTGAATATCCCGCCGCACGACGGCCTATGTCTTCGCCGACGCAAGCTCCGCAACCCCATGCAGCTCCGACGAGTCCTTGCGAGGATAGGCTAGCAAATGGCGTCAACAGACAGACGGTAGAGGGGGAGGGGCAGCCGGAACCAGCCACAGCAAAGGGGCCTCAACCTGAGGCTTCCAGCAATCATGAAGGCACGCTTGCTAAGGCGGGGCAGGCGCTGGAGCCTCACCAAGACGCGGGGCTTGAAGATGCAAACAAGACCAAGCAGACGCAGGAGCTGGCTCACGAGGGCACAGAAGAATCTCGGCCAAGGTCTGCCCAGGAAGCCACGACCGTCGAGGCTAGTGCGGGGAAGCAGCCGCAGAGCACCCCACCGTCAATGGACGAGATGTCAGCCAAAACAGAAACTGCACCGCTCTCCTCGACCCCACCTCCTGCACCGGCGTCCAAAGCGGCAGGGAAAGCTGCAGTCCGCTCTCCGTCTCCTCCACCGCCTCCCCCAAAGGACGAAAGGTACCTCTCCTCCGGCATCGATGTGCCCAGCCGGACTACTTCGCCCCTCTCGCAAGGGAGATCAAGTGGCAGAAACTCGGAAGACGCTGAGGCGGCCGAGTATGCTGCCAAGTATGAGGGCGCCGAGGACATTGTCGACGATTCGAGGTCGGAGATACAGAGCATCATGGAGCAGTTCGAGCACGGCAGCGGAGCCCCGGGCGCCGACGAGATCATGTCGCCGCGCTTGGAGCTCGCTGGCCCCATGTTGGATTCGCCCATAACCCACCCGCCGCGGAGGTCAAGTCTGGAGCCCCTAAATAAGCCCTTGCCCACGCCGGCAGAAGGTGGTCCGTCTGAGCAGGCCTTGCAGTCGCCACCGCCGCGGACCTCATCGCTGTACCGAGTTGGAACCAACAGCTCCCTGAACGAGAAGGCGGCCAGGCCCATGTCACCCAGCGCACATGCGCCTCAGTACAAACCCACTCCTCCCGTGCCTGACCCAGAACCTGACCTTCCGTTCGACTTCCACCGCTTCCTCGAACAACTGCGCCATCGCACGGCCGATCCCGTCGCCAAGTTCCTTCGGTCCTTCCTCCTTGAGTTTGGAAAGAAGCAGTGGATGGTGCACGAGCAGGTCAAGATCATAGGCGACTTCCTCGAGTTCATAAGCAAGAAGATGGCGCTGTGTGAGGTCTGGCGGACAGTGTCGGACGCCGAATTCGACAATGCTAGAGAGGGAATGGAGAAGCTAGTGATGAACCGGCTGTATACGCAGACGTTTTCGCCTGCAATACCGCCGCCCGAGCCCGTTCATCCTACGAAAAGCAGGCGGCGAGGGCAGGAGCCTGTCGGGCTCGGTCGACGAGGACAGCACCAAGAGGACGTTGAGCGGGACGAGGTGTTGGCGCAGAAGGTCCGGATATACAAGTGGGTTAAGGAGGAGCATTTAGATATTAAGACTGTCGGTGACAAGGGCAGGAAATTTCTACTCCTGGCTCAGCAGGAGCTACTAAAGATCAAGAGCTACAGAGCGCCCAGAGATAAGGTCATCTGCGTTCTGAATTGCTGCAAAGTCATTTTTGGATTCCTTCGAACATCGCAGTCAGATCAGTCTGCCGACGCTTTTGTCCCTCTTCTCATATACACAGTGTTGCAAGCAAACCCAGATCACCTCGTCTCAAATGTGCAGTACATCTTACGTTTCCGCAATCAGGACAAACTCGGCGGCGAAGCGGGCTACTACATATCCTCGCTTATGGGCGCCATCCAATTCATCGAAGGACTCGACCGAACCTCCCTCACCGTCTCAGACGAAGAATTTGAAAAGAACGTTGAGGCAGCCGTGTCCGCCATCGCAGAGCGGCACGCCGACCCCGACCCCGACCCAACAACACCTGAATCCTCTAATCCTCCAGCCCTCCGTCTCCAAACGAATCCCCCAACAACACCCGGCCATCGCCGCATGCCATCACCGCACCTCCACCTGTCCGAGAAATCCTCCCTCTCACGGCCGGAAGTCACGCCGCGGAATTCACTAGAGGCAGAAAAGGCAGGCCCGCGTCGCTCAACTAGTCTCCGCAACACTGGAAACGATGGCGAGCCCCCCGAGGAAGAAAACGCAGCCGTAGCAGGCTTACTCCGCACGATCCAACGGCCACTCAGTACCATCGGTCGTATCTTCTCCGACAATGATACTACAGCTACATCAACTTCCCACCCCGTTTCAACCCCGCAACCAGGCAGCACCCCGCGCCTCTCTCCCGCGCCTCCCGCGCAACCGCGTCGCTCTAGCGATTACCCTAGGACCGGGACGGCAACATCTCCGCAATTTAATGAGAAGGCGGGGGGGCAGCAGAGGAGATCCGCGGAAGAACAGCGATATCGCGAACGCCTGTCAGCCGAGGACGCGGCGGCGAGGCAAGCGTCCGCGGAAGCGGAAGAGGCGCGACGGATACAAAGGCAGGAGCATCGGGTTGTAGTTGAGACGTTGGCGGGGATGTTTCCAGCGTTGGATAGGGAGGTTATTGATGATGTTGTTAGGATGAAAGAGGGAAGGTACGTGAAATTCTAGTTCCTACCCTCCGCTCCGTTGCTTAACTGTTTGGCTGCTGGAGGCCTTGGCTGGGATGTGCAATGAGGTGGGAGGAGTTGCTCTGTTCCTTGCGAACTAACTTTTATTCACAGAGTCGGGCTGGCCGTAGACGCGTGCCTAGCTCTCAGTAGTCCTTAATTACTCAGACCCGATGCAATCCGACCCCCGATGCATCTCCTATCCACCCTGCCACGTAGCTCGGAGGTCCGGATTTCCGAATTGAAAGATGAGAATTTGCTTGGTCGGCTTTCTTTGTGTCTTAGGGAGCATTGGGGGAGCATTGCGAGTGCGCCTTTGGTTTGGTTTGGTCCGGTTCGCGGAAGAGCAGGTTTAGATATATTTGTAGTGTAGTCCAGGACAAATCGCATTCCGCTTAGCATTGTAAGCGTGCAGTCCATCCGTAGGGACGCTTGAATGGTATTTAAATTAAACGCAACGTACATGTGCGCCAAAATTTGTGCTATATTTTTATCAGTTGAGTTGTGGCGATTGATTTTTCATTTGATGGAGTTGGGAATTTGTCAGCCGCGGGAAACCCAACTTGGCAGACGCCACACAGCATCCTTGCATGTGGCACAACCCATTACACTAACAAGTGCAGCTGCAGCAATCAATCCAGTTAACCAGAAAAAAAAAACCCCAACAAAGCATAAGTCCATTGCGCATGTAAACCAGCCGCTCAAGCTGCAAGGTAAGTTTCTACTAGCCAGAAGAAAGTGACAGACTGCTGAGCTCCATACATGCCACTTCTTACAACAAATAAAAAGAAAGATAGCATCTACGTAGTACATCTAGTTTCATTTATCTTGCTTCTAGACCTAATATCTGATGTTTAGATGTAGGCCTGAATACGTGCATGAGCTTAACACACGAACTGTATTTCGCTGAGGTCAGGGTTAGGTTGATCTTTATTTAACCTAATGTTGTTCTAGATTCTTGCTGGCGAAGTGAGCGGGAATCTCAATCAAGGCCGTTGGATGTAAAGAAAAGAAAAGAAAAAGGGTTGAGATTGCCTCATTAAAGTTGTACGAATAATACCCTAACAAGTCACTGGCTTTTATATATACCTCGGTACAGGACTATTCCAATTCCATGTTGTCTGAAAACCCCCCCTTTCCAACTTTCTCAAATGATGTCTCAAGACTAACAGAACTCCCACTAAAGTGAAATCATATACGCATTTCTGATAATCCATACATACTCTGCAAATCTACAATCCGCAAATTCAATATTATTACCACTGACCCTGGCCCTGACCTTGTCCTTGCGCATCCCATCCGCTACCCCCTTCCTGCCCCCCAATTTGCGCATTTGCCGGATGCCCCGCTGGCGGCAAACCGGGCCCGTACACCAAAGCCTGCCTTACCCTCCCCTCTGTCGGCTGCGGCATCTCCAATATACTTGTCTGCGCAGGCCCGGGAGCTGGCTGTGGTGACGGCGTCGTCCAATCACTCATCTGCGTGGACGGAGTGTGGGTCGCAAACGGCGATGGCGCATATGGACTTGTCGAAAAGGGGCTGGGTTGGGGAGTATAGGCCGAGGGCGGGGTTGTGGGGTAGTTATGGCCCTGGCCCGGGCTGTGGTAGATTTGCTGGGGGCTTGTTGCTGGGATCCATGGCTGTGGGTGGTATCCTGGCTGTGGCTGGATGGCATGGGCCGGGGGTGAGGGGATTGGGGAGATGGATGCGCGGTGGTAGAGCTGCGATTGGAGGGCTGAAGATTCTCGTTGGAAGCGGTCGCGCCAGTGGGTGAAGCCGAAGCGGAGGCCGAAGCGGGAGAGAATGGTTGTGAAGTCATTGATGGCGTTGATGGCTCTTGTTGTGGGGTCTTTGGGGGTAGATTGGCCATCTGGTATGATTGGCGATGGGAAGGTAGGAGGTGGAATTTGTGCTGGTGGTGCAAGAGGGTCCTCGGATGTCGATGGAGGCACGGAGGGAGCTGGTGGTGTGGGAGGCATTGGGTCGAGGATAACGTCCAGGTTGCGGGATAGGACGTCGACGAATTGACGGCCGGTCATGTATGCGCGCATGGCATCATAGAAAGTCACTGGCGGCTTCGTTGTATTCGATGGCTTTGAGATGAGGGCTAGAAGATTAGTGGCATAGGCAATACAGTGCTCGAATATTAACCTTTGAGCGTATTCGTGAATGTGGGGTATGCGTGGGCTTGGAGAGAGAATGTAGACGTAGCTGTATAGAAGCTCTAATTCAAAGAACGTCTTTGTTGACGGTAGTATGCTTGATGGCATTTCTTGAAACCAACTCGTCATCTTGGCGTACTGCTTCCATATATATGGATATGGGTCTCGCCAAGGTTCACGCCCCGACTGGAAAAGATCCATGTACCAGCCAGATTGGATTTCGCGTATTCGAAAGAGGTCGAGAGCGGCGTCGAAAGACTGAAGGAAGACCTGCGTGTGCGGAGACGAGTGTTTGGGGGACGTGGACTGTGAGCTGAATGGAAAGGAGACGTGGCTGGAATCATCGGAGAAGGAGAAAGCTCTAGTCTGAACAAGAGATGTTGACCTTCAATCTGTCAGCGTTATCACCATAAGGCTGTTGTTGACGCTTACCTGTCTAGCGCGTATACGCACCAGTACACTCTTCTCCGAATCTCGAGCTTGGCTCTTGATATTGCGGTGCTCCGTGACGGATCTTGATGAATCCCGAGATCGACCATGGCCCTTGACGCGGCACCAATCAATGTCCAGCTGTCGAAATGGTGAGGATCCATGATTGCGTACTCGACGAGGAGTATCAGCGCTTGGATACTGCTGACAAATCCTGGATGTAGAACCTCCTCCGCATGCTCGAGAGCGGCATTGACGTGGCCAACTGCATCAGAATACAAGGTGTCTCCGCGGGACTCGGACTGTGATAAACATGCTATTGCAAGTACCATACGAACAATCCAGTGATCGAAAGCCGAAGCATTATCATCTGGATGATAAACGGCATCAATACAGGCATACAGGCTGGCTTCATCGAAGATGGGTAGAAGCATGAAGACATTGTTTAGATAATGCTGGATGAGGGGTGTTGCAGCAAATCTCGGGGGGAGAGCTTTGTGAAGCCCAGAAGGTAAGGCTTCCTTAGCGCTCGCCGATAGAACGAGCCGAGCATACGACATTGCTGAAGTGAAGCCATAGAAGTCTCTTGCCGTTGCATTGACGGCACTGGAGATTGCTCAGCTGTTGCACACGTGGACAGCTTACGAGGGATACACCTACAGCAGACCGAAATCGGACACTAAATCGTCGATATCTGAAGCCTCTTTTCTTCGCGCGGCGCGTTTGCTGATGGGGCGAGGGGCCTTCAGGGTGTCCACAGAAGTCCGGCGTGGAGTGGCACTGTCGGCATCTTGCATCAACACGGACGATGATTTCCTTCTTGCTCTGGCCTCGGCGATCTTCTTCTCGAGCCTCTCGACCCGGGCTTCCAGGGTGGCCACATAACTCCTTTCCTTGCCCCGGGCGAACTGGTCGTTGGTGCTGGAGCACTCGGAGGCTCGATTCGACTTCTCACATGCCGTGCAGGCGGGCAATTTGCCATCGCACTTGACCTTGGCTGCCCGACACCGCGAGCAAGCAGCCACAGGTCGGCTCACACGAAGCAGAGGAGTTTCAAGCGCCATTAGGTCGTTGTTGGAGGAAGAGGGATTCGGTTCTGAAGCCATGGTGGACAATCAATGGATGAACACGTGAACGCTCGATCGGGAAATGAATAGCCAGATTAAGCGATACAGGAGTGATGAGGGGATGGAAGAGACTAGGGAAAGGCAAGCGAGAGGGCTGACCGAGGATAAAGAAAGCTGCAGAACATGAGGGGCTTTCGGGGGGTTGGCCAGAGACCATGGCTGAAGTAATTTGAAGTTTGGACACGGAAGGCCACTTACAGGGTCGGGCAGAGAGACGGTGAGGGTTTAGTGTGGCAGGACAGCTGCCATGAACCCTTGGGAGATGAATGAGGCTAGATTACGAGGGCCCTCAGCTCTGGAGAGTGGTGCCTGTGGATGCGGTGGGTACCTGTAAGGTAGAGATGTGGTACAGGTGTGGTACAGGTGCAGGGTGTTGTGGGGGGGCGCAGTAAGGGCTCAATGCGCGCACTCAGCCCTCGAGAAACGGGCGGGGATTGGTCTCACCGGCTGGTGGGAGGAGTGAGCCTAGGCAGACAGCTCGTGCCCCGCGATGATGTATTGCAGGAGGGAGGATAGATCCACATAGAAAGACTGCAGAAGAAGGCGGAGACAGCGTGTCGGGCGGCCGTGGTGGTGATGCACTCGGCAGCCAGCGGCGGTGAGGCGGGTGCAAGCCTTCCTGGCCCTACCAGGCTGTCGACGGGCGGTTGACGGCTGCTCATCGGATGGCAGGCTTTCACACCTCGACCTATCAGCGGCCGTTCCAGCATCGCCGCCCAACATTCTGCGCCGTTTGTCATCTGTGGTTATCGTGGTGCGCTGCCCTCGATTGGACCAGGGCGGTAATATACCAGTCCGTGTCGCTGTTATTTTCCCACACAGCCAAGGTACGCATTCCACCTCGAACCGTCGAACCGCTCTAGGGCTGCTGCCATATCCATCTCCGTCCGGTCTCTTTCTGCTGCGTTGCTTGGCTGTGCCACGACATCGACGCCTCAAATAGCCCCAGAGAGCGGCCATGCCACACCGTGATTGACCGTATTGCTTGCTTCTTCCTTGGAATGGCCGTGTGCGCTACACATAGTCCTCTCGTCGACATCCTCACTGGACTCCCTCTGCGCGCGCAACTGAGCACTTCAACGACGAGATGATGGACGCGAAGGGGTCGCAGTCCACGCAAAACGGCGCACCGAAGAGCAGCGAAGAGGCCCCCTCCCCCAACCGCATCGCCCACACCCTGACGGCCTGCTGTCGCTGTCGCACCGTGAGCCCTTCATGCCCCCCCAAAGGAACTAACGGCGTCTCCAAACTGACCCTTTCCTTCCAGCGCAAGACGAGATGCGACCCAGGCCTGCCCCGCTGCGGGCCCTGCGAGCGGACAAACTCCCACTGCGAGTACTACGACCCCACCAAAGGCACCAAGATACCGCGCAACTATGTCGTCCATCTGCAGCACAAGGTGCGCGATCTGGAGAAGCAACTGTCTGATCTGGAGAGGGACGACGTCGAGCCGGATCCGGAAGACGTGATGCGCGGTGCGGCTGCCGTGCACATTCAGGAGACCGACGAGTCTAAGTTCTTGGGCCCGTCGAGCGGTATCACTATCACTCGTCTCGTGATGCAGCTCGCTAAGCAGTTCACCGACTCGAAGAGCATATCGGAAATCGTCCCGGATTCAAGAGCAAAATACATAAAAGCAACGTTCGATGAAGAAGACAAGAAGCCAACGTCTAAAGTCTATCCGCTGATAAGCGACGTTGCGGCTGAGGACTTACCAAATAGAGATCTCACGAACCTGCTCGTCCAGCTCTTCTACGGCAAAGGCTCGTATTACCTGACCAATGCCAGCCCTGGGTCCTTCTAACTGTCTTTTAGTGCATCCGATGTACCCCATGTTCCACGAGCCGACATTTACCCAAGATGTTGAAGACGTCTACAGCGGCTCCACGGACCCCTACCAGAACTTCTGTCTCCGCATGGTGATCGCCATCAGCCTGCAGAAGATGGACACCCAGTACGCTGGTCTTGCCGATAGCTACTACCTCGCTGCTCTAAAGTTCCTTGAGGGTTCGATAAAACCCATGAATGTGAAGACACTGCAGTGCTTCGCGCTAATTGCTGGCTACTCACTCCTCACCCCAACAAGAACAGCCGTCTATTATATCATTGGCCTCGGTGTGCGGCTCTGCCAAGCACTAGGTATACATGAAGAGAAGACAATAACTCGGGGCCCTGGTGGCGCACCAGCTGACCCACTGGAGATCGACATGCGACGACGCCTCTTCTGGTGTCTTCTCACCATGGACTTTGGGTTGGCTCACAGTCTTGGTCGACCGAGTATCTTTGCCGCCCGTCGAGATCACATTGATGTGAACTTTTTCGAGCTCGTCGACGACGAATACATCACCAGAGATGGCATACGGCCAGCGCCGCAAGCCTCATTAAAGAAATGGATCGCCATACACTTCTTTAAGATGAGATTACTGCAATTGGAGATCCGAAGAAAACTTTACCAAAGGAAGAGGTCGGAGCCAAAAGACGACCAAGATCCGTGGTTTACCCAAATGCTAGCAGCAATGGTTGCGTGGAGAGACACAAGCCCGGAGATGGATGGGGGTTCGGGCTTGAACAAAGTCTGGTGAGTAACTGTCGCTGTATCTAAGATTGTCTTTGGAGACGATCTGTCTAACTCGTTGTGTAGGTTCACTGGGAGATACAACACAATGGTCGTTTTCCTCTTTCGTCCCTCTCCGCAAGTCCCACGACCTTCGCTCCAGGCTGCAGTACAATGTTACGAGGCCTGCGAGTACAACATACACATGCACCGCAAACAAATTGAAACCGGCAGCGTGGACCTTACCTGGATCTTCACTCAATCCATCTTCATGGCTATAAATACCATGCTCTGGACCCTGTCATACTCTGAGATCCGACGGAGGCATCAGCATGACGAAGTTGAGCAGCATTTGTTCGTGGCCCTCGATTGCATCGAGCTGGCGTCCGAACGGTGGCCCGGTGTAGCATCTGCCCTGGAGCTATATAGGAACTTGATTGTTGCCTGCATGAAGATCTACGACAAGGACGGCGATATACCGATTTCGGCATCGTCTCCGTCTGAAAGTGCATCTGTTACGTCAAGCATGGTGGAGGGTATCAATAGATCTCGGACCACAAGCCCGGCCACAGCGTCAACGGCTTCAATCAGTACGCCGCCTGACAAATCACAACCTCCATTTGGGTACTTACCTAGTCAAGCTCAACCGCTATTCAGCTTCACATCCCAGCAGAACGCACCAAGCCTATACTCATCCTCACCGGCAGCCCAGTCCCATTCGGCACAGACGTCTCCGCAACAAGCCCCACCCCAGCCCTACATCGACTCTAGCCCGAAATCATCGGTGGACGCAAACATACCGAATTTCAATTTCACACCAACAACCCAGTTCAATCCTCTTCCCGCGACCTTTGCCGAGCTTCCCCAGTGGACTCCAACGTTCTCTATGCCCCACCAGGAGCCGTATACGATGCCGCCTGTCTCTCAGGCTCTAACCTCGCCCACCTTCAACGAAAATTATGCGGCAGGCCAAGGCTATCCCATGGCTGATTACCTGTACCCACAATGGAGTGCTGAGAGTCGAAGCATGGGTTTGAATCAGGAGCAGCAAATGGAGCTCATGCAATCCTTCGAAGCAAACGAAACCGGAAAGATTGAGGCAATGATCCAGCAGAGCAACCAGCTGTTCAGCCCGCAAATTAGAACATATTGAAGTGGCAGCCTCGGCTTACCTGCGCGTTCAGCCACATGTGCCTCCTCTCTGGGCTGTAGTAGTGGACAATTTCCACCGTACACCAAACATGTCCACCCGATGCCAAGCCCGTCGAGGAGAATCGGTGTCCCCGACGTCTCACGAAGTCTTTGACGGCGAAACGAACCGTTGGAACGATTTAGTTTCCCAGCACCTAGCCTCCCACGTGGCAAAGGCACCTGCAGATCTAGTGCATCACTAACCACGGTTCATCAGCCGAGCCCCACATTCCCTGGCCTCAGGAAAACATCACCCTTCAGGGGTCCGCGGCAATTTCCCATGTCCCTGGATCAAGTTATTCAGGCTGTAATTGTATTCTAGACTCTCACTTCTGCACAACAGCAACACTTTAAAAAGATGGAGGGATTCTCGGTTTTCCAGTCATGCAGTGAAAGTGTTTGGGAAAATGATGATGCGTCTAACGTTAGCCAAAGACGCCTGTTTACGAGTGCGGTCATGACTTGTTGGCATTTTGAAGGAAGCGATGGGCTGTTTTGTGATAATATGGCGCTTGGTGCTTGTGATAGATGGATGAAAATGAAGCAACGGTATGTAGCAGGCAAGGCCGGTGTCAGCTGGCCTGATATATCTTGTTTCTCTTGTGCTGAACACCATATTCATAGCTCCCCGAATTGGAAGTTGAGTCTCTTCATTCTTGCTTGTCGCGATCCCATAAACCCCTCATTATCATCCAGAAACTCATTTGTTGTCCCCTCTCTTATAATCGCATCTGTCTCGTCGGCATCCTATAGGTGAAACTCTCTTTCGTCATCGCTTCAAACCAATAATAGCACATTATCCGTAAATATCCCACTGTTTCGCAAATACACCTCTCGACAACGAGCAATCCCTCAGCCCTCATACTCACTCTCCTCACTTTCCTCACTATCCCCCTCACCATCCTCACCATCCTCACCATTCTCCTCACTACTCCCCTCCTCACTCTCCACCGGAGTCCTCACACACACCTCCATCTCTCTATCCGTCGGCTCTGGATCCCATCCCCCAGGACAACTATCCTTCACCATCACCAACTCATGATGCGTATGGTCATCCAATTTCTTAAACAAAGCCTCCAACTCCGTATACGTAATATACCCCCGCCCCGACGACAGATCTCGAATCTGATCTTTCAGCGCTTCAAGCGCATACGTCCGGCCATCGCGTTTCGCGTGCGTGTCCAGCTCGGAATGGCCTGCAGACTCGAATTTGCGTAGGATGTGAAGGAGGGGAGCGGTGTTGATGTATGGGCCTGAGTAATCTGCGAGGAACGGCCGGATGGCAGAAATTGTGATGAGCGCCCCGTTTCGGAAGTGTTGTGCTGAGTGCGAAGTGAGCGCTATTGGGAAGGGCGGGTAGGCAGGAGAGGGAGAGAGGGAGGAGAGTGCGGAGGAGCCGGCAGAGGAGGAAGAGATGATGGAGGGGGAGGGCGACTCTTGCTCCCTTTCCCTGTCCTGGAGCGCGTGGGGGAGTGGTAAGATGACTATGAATGAGGGCGGTGGTGCCTGCATATTGGTGTTAGCGCTGATCTATTGGCTTCGCGCAAAAAAGACCAGCAGTGGCAGAGCTCAGAACTCAGCTCCATCATCGTAAATTCTAGGTATTGGCGATGGTGGTGAAAGATGGAGCTGAGTCAGCGCATCTGGCAATGAGACTTACATTTGGTTTGCTCTTCGAAGGTCGGCCACACTTCTTTAGGTGCAGTCTTGGGAAGGCGAGGTTAGCCCGAGTTCTGCTGCCAGCAAATTTACCTAAGCTTCTTGGATCTTGATAACTGTGCCTCCGGTGTCGCCGGTGCTGTCTCTAGCTCCATCTCCGCCGCCACTGCGAACTCCTCCAAGGAGTTAACATCACTCATAGCCCTTCCGTCTCAATCATCCTTTAGCTCTAACCTGTCTCCCTCTATATGGCAACGCCTAACTGTATTAAACCTTTGTGTAGCACTAGCATGAAAGCTCTAGGAGCTATTTCATCCTCTTCATCCATTCATACGTTTCCCAAATAACCGCTATAGCCCCCTACGCACCTCAGAGGTGTCTTCTATCACAGCCTCAAATACGCTCTCCAACTAACCCAACGCTACCAGCAGACACTCAAGGAGTCCATCAGAGTCATTATCCACCACCTTTATCCCTAAACCCACCACTCACCCCACCAGCCGGCCCACTGCTTCCCTCTTTCCGTGTACATCTTGTAACACATATGCTCTTCTCCTGTGTAGTATTCCTTAGACCCTCCTTCCCTGTGTCCACAACCACTGAGGGGGCTTTTCAGTATCCCTATACTGCTTTGCAAGGTCGTCCTCCTACACTCTTTTGAGGCCCATCCTAATACGTCCATTCTCTGCTTCCCTGTACTTGCGTCTATCAACTCGGTCTTCCGCATCTTTAGCACCTAGCTAGGCTCCAGCTTCCGCCATTGTATAGATTTCGAGGGAGTCAATACATGGTTTGAATAATAAGTATATTTTTGGCTTTTGGTAGCGTGGGAGCTTGGGGGGTAGCAATGTGGAGAAAGAATAGATGTTAAGTCAGGGTTTCTAAACCGAAGAATGAAACCCGATGTTAGAGAGATTTTGTTATTATGATTCGCCCTGGCCACAATACCCATCTATTATGGCTATGGAATTACCCTCCCATGAAATGGCCTAGCCTGTGGCGAAAACCCTTCCTGGGTTGTGTTCCTTCTTGCCGATGCATTCCAAAATACCGATTCCCAGGAGCCATCAAAGACCACAAACCTCGAACACATTCTGAAATTGGCTTGTGAACCTGCCCCTGTACTGCATCACGGCGCGGTAAACAGGGCGTCCGAATCTATATCATCTACGATGACAATAGGATCCTGAGCCATGGCCTCATCTCCACCTAGTCCTCTTGCTGGCGCCGTAACTTGGGCGGCCGATTCTGCGGGCTTGAACCCAGGTTCTTGTCCGTTTCTATCAATTTGCCCTTCGACTTGTCCGACATCATCCTTAGTCTTAAATTCAGTGCCTTCCCAACTCTCGCCATTCGGAGTAAAGTCATGTTGCAAACCCGCCAAGTCACTTACTTCCTTGTCAGCCTCCTCCCGTGACCCATTCTCAGTCCCCACTTTGTTGATCTGAGTCGACTGGCCCTCTGGAGCCGGGGTCTCCGCCACGCGCTCTTCAGTTTCATTCTCCGCCTGATCCTGGGTGTTGAAAATCACCGTTCTATAGTCGTCTAGATTCATATCGTCCCTCACACTCCACTTCAACTTCTCCAACTGCGTCTCGATCTTTGCAACCACCGCTGTCGGACATATCTCCAAGAACTCTCCACAAGCCCATGCGACACCCTGGTAGAAGATCTCGTCTTGGTTTGTACCGGGGATCACATATGGCCGTGATGTGAATCGCGTCTCCTTGTTCTCTTTCGAGGACTGCGAGGTGGCGCTGGGAGAGGTTAGATCGTGATTAGATTTTTGCACCATTTCGGGAATCTGTGGTTAGTTAGCTCCGATGGGTGTGGAAAGGGAACCGGGGATGTAAAGTTTACCTCCGTGGCTTTACCACGATTCATTGACGTAATGTATGATACACCTGCCAGATCCATGGTCGCGCTATTTACATAGTGCGATCTTTTGCCTCGTTTAGAAGACCTTGGACCCGGAGGTGGGGAAACGCAATCGCGCTCTCGTTTGATGGGAACTGCAACGGCCTACTCATAATTAGCTTCCAATCTCGAATGATGCAAGTGGAATGTAGAAATCTACTGACATCTTGGTCCTTCCCATGCTTCACCGCCTGAATGAATTCCACACCTCCAAGATCATTGCGTGGATACTTTTCCTTCAGCTCCTGAGCCCTAAGCTCAACGAGCCGAGGAATGCTCCTCGCAGCTGGTACATCCACGCCTTTCACCCTCTCAATGGCCTCATTGTAGAGGGATGTCATATGCCGATACACCTTCGATCCATGGTTGACGTCCCCCACAAACTTCTTCCTGTCTCGCAAGATCTGCACCGTGGCAATCGACTCACCATCCTCCTTGCCCTCGCCATTTCCACTCTGTACATACTGATTCTGAAGTTCCTGCACAGACTCATTGGCCCGCTCGGCAATGCTCCAAGCAGCAGAGATATCCCTCCCTTCCAGCACCTTAGCAACCGCCTCATCATACACATTGATAACGCGAAGGCAAAGCTTAGACCGCTGATCCAAACCTGCCAAAAACGTCTGTTTCCGGCGTTCTAGAGTCTTAATAATCTCCGCAGCATGCACCCTCACATCTCCGACATCGTTCTGCAGCTGTCGGATCGAAGGCACGTGGATTTCCGTGGAAGCAGCGTGCTTTTGCATATCGTCGTGCTTCACGTTAATGACGTGGATTCGCTGAGAGACGCGGTCTTTAATTGAATGCGGTGTAGCGACACCTTCCTTGCCCTCGATTCCATCGGAGCACTTCTGCATACCGCGCTGAAGCACGCCTTGGATTTCGGTGACGCGGGCGCTGTCTTTGGGTGTAGGGTAGCGGTTAGAGATGTCGTTCCAGGCTTTTCGGAAGCGGAGGAGGATGCTTTCGTAGGCGGTTGAAGACGCGGTGTGAAGTGGATTGAGGCTTGGGGCCGGAGTCGTGGGATTGGGATGCATGGCCGCGGTTTGATTGTTAGGATGACCGCAGCAAGTTGAGTTTTTGAATCTAGTGGGTATATACTAAGTGTTTGGAGCGTTGAGTACTAGGGCCGTACTTTGAATGGTTGAGACTAAACGACCATATGACTAGTTAATGCTAATAGTTGCGAGGGGAATGCACAAGATCGGTGATCTAGTGGATAAGAACGACAGCGGAAGCGTTGCTAGACGACAAAGAAAGGTATGGCTAACCTTAACTATGGTGGGATTACCATGACAGGGTAACCCCCAGAAGCGAGCCGAGCTCTCAAAAAGTCTTGCGAAGTCGACGATGCGTTTGGCCAGTGCAACAGCCTAAGGACAAAATTAATCATCCCAGAGGGCAATGTCGCTGGAAAGTACTCATTTCCAAGAACTCAGTCTTTCACCGATCGTCCTCTTTTGGGCGAGATTAAAGAATGCGCTGGACAAACAACTAGGCGCTTCGGACATTGGCTACACATGCATACTTCGGTAGAAATGGACGGAAAGAAAGAGGAAAAGATACTCCGGAGGCTCACGCACCTCATGCAAAGCGGACCTTTTGGCCGAACACCGTATACTGGCAAGAAACGAAAGAAATTCAGCAATACTCTATTCCCGATTCAAGTACTCTTAAAACCTCGGTAGAGGGTTGATAGAGGAAGCGAGAATGATGGCAATTGAACATGGTTATGATCCTGCACATCTCCGAATTTTCCCATTTCTGCAAATTCAGGTCATATGGTTGGAACCCTCTCGCCCTCACTAGTTGGCAGCCAATTGAAATCCTTTTCTCTCTCGAATTGCACGAGACCTTAATGGGTTACCTGGTCCACTCGTCCCGGAATTGAAAATTCCTGCTGAAAGATATCCTTCAGCTTGTCCAGCCCAAGCCTCTGGACATCCCACTCACATGCTTGGCTCTCTACATGCAATACCAAGCTGCTCATGTGTCGGAATACCCTTCCGCAGCCGTCTGCGCGGCACACAAATGGTTCGATTGCACCTGCATGGACCATTTCATTGAGAGTGTCCATATCAACGCTGCCCTGGCGGAGCTGAGCATGAATACCGATGTCCATGTACAGGGTTGAATACCACCACCGACCGAGAAGCTTGGTGAAGCGATCGGGGTTTGGGAACAGTGGACAGCCTCCAGATTCGATGTGGTTAATAAGGCTGCTCTGAGTCTTGAGAGGGATCTGGCAAGCCCAGCATGAGAGCGTTGGTGGGACGTGCTTGGTCATGTGCTGAGCTTATTGTGAGTTGGGAACAATCTGAAGAAGGGTAGGAGTAACATGAGGGAGGAAGATGCTTACATTGAGGTAATTACCTTCATGACTAGTATGAAAGTCACACGCCTTGCACAAGAAGCATGACTGAATATGCGCGTTGAGCTTGGTTTGGCTTGGGAAGACGACACCACAATTATCACAGTGGTAATGACCCTCCAGCATGTGCTTCTGGAGCGCTTCTTGGTTCGGACCATCAAAGTCGCAGCCGGTTTGCAAGCAGTGTTTGTGCCTAGTTGTCTTGATCCAGTGCTCATCACGCTCGTCCTGGTTTCTAAAGCGCCGATGGCAAGTGCGGCACCAAACATGGTTCATAGCCGTCTGGAGATGATGTTCCATTTCCTTCCTGCTCTTGAATGCCATCAAACACACCAGACATGCAAATTCATGGCCGACCACGTAATTGTTCTCGAAATGATTGCGAAGGCCGTTGGTGTCTTTGAATGCACTTAGGCATGAGTTGCAGAATATCTCATGGCCCACTGAGTTATCGACATGATTCTTTAAACCATTCCGATCTTTAAACACGCGAGTGCACAGGTTGCAGTAGTTCTCGTGCCTCGGGGTGTGTTTTGCATGAGTGTACAGAGCAGCCTTGCTACCAAACGCCGCTTGGCACACGCCGCACCAGTGATCTGGAAACCCATTGCGGCCGGAGTTGGAATCATCCACCTGGGATACGGGCGATACAAATGGAGGACTCTTTTGCTTTGAATGCGCTGGAGCGCGGTACTCTAGACCTCGAATGACGAGTGTTTTCAGCGCATTGGAGTGGCGGGTACCAACAGGCTTCACATTCTCTTTCCACTGTGAGCTGGAATGCGTAGCAGGTTCATGAGGGCCCGTGTTCCCGTTCGAGATATGGGGTTTGACATTGCGGTTTTCGTCCGCTTCAGAAGGAGGACTGCCGTCATCGGCTAGCAGCGCAAAACGATTGACTCCCTTCGTCACCATCCTCGGCCGAATAGCGGTGTGCGAGGTAAGTAGCTGGGCTGGGGTCGCATACAGAGAGGTGGTGGGGTTGATGTAGCCTGGAAAACGCGCTAGTGCGGGTACGCACGTGACAAACGAAGTGGGCAGTCACTTGTACCCACACATTGATATTGGGCTTGAAGGCCGTGTGAGACGTGGCGCTAAGCAAACTTTATGGTCCCCGATGGTGCAATCACCGGATATAGTCGCCTAGTTTGATTGCCGGAGGACAGAGAGTGAAGCAAGAGAGGCAACAATGAATTTTGGGTCTGGACTGATCTTACAATCTGAAACACTGGAATAAGTTTCTGCCTACCATGGCAGCACTAAAGAGGGGCATTAAAGCTGCCACCAGTCCTGCCGGGATATAGAAGATAATGGCCAGGGTAGTAGTCTGTCATGAAGCTACTTGTGTTAGAAGCAAACCGGCAATACGGGACATTTGCTATAGGAAATCTGACGGAAAAGCGAGGACTGCAGCTACAAACCTTTTTCTAATTAATTATCTTAGGCGTGCCGTAGGAAAGCAAGCTCTGCTGGAGGAGGCACACCAGGGGACCACTCAAGTCTCTTCAAATCTTTCATCTTTAGCATAGTGTGTTCCTCAAGTCTCTCCCTTGTGTCAAGACAAATGTAAGAAAGGATGCCCTGCCTAGATGGCGTAAGAAGTGAAGAAGAGGTGATGAGTTCAAAGAGGTGAAGTTCACTGAACTCGGACCGTCTCTTCTGCCGGTAGCCGCGGTTGTGAATCTTGGCACGGTCCAGCCGTCACACTGCATTAGCCCAGTCTTCTTCCGTCTCGACCTACCCCTCGTTACAACTACTACTGAGATCTGCTACACCACCCGCCCTGCAAATCGCGCGATATAAGCCAGTATGGCCTTCTGCTTGCAACGGCTCCATATCTCCTTTCTCTGCCTCCCTCCGGACGCGGACGACGTCTCTTAGCCTCCCTGTCCCCAATCCCCGAGATGTGCATGTTTGTGAAAGAGCAAGATCCGCACGTGATGCCAACGAAGCAAGAAGAATCCACGTGCCCAATTACGAAGAACGGACACCGGTGGAGCATACCATGGCCTGTGAAGGACGGAAAACCGCGACGCATTTTGGGAGTACACCTACCATGGTTTGTTGCTATCGCTATCTCTATGCTTGTCATTATAGCGGTCGTCTGCGCTGTTCTCGCAATAGTCCTGCCTCGGAAGACACGCGACAGCCCCATTGTCACGCCGCCTTCGGCGTCACCTGGGACGGAACATTGGCCTTGTCGAGAGGTCCTCCACTCCAATTTTCCAGATCCGAATCTCCTCAGGCACAATGGCACTTGGTACGCCTTTGCAACGAACAACGCTGCCGGGGTGTTGCACGAGGGGCGCGACAAGACCCCAGAGCACTTCGGCTTGTCGCACGTACAACTCGCAACCTCGCCAGATTTTGTAAATTGGACGTTGTGCGATTATACCGAGGATCCGTTACCAAAACTGGGCGACTGGGTTGCTGACGGGATGATGATGTTGAAGAGCGAGGCCCAGCTTGTGCCCAAGTCCAACTTATGGGCCCCCAACGTGCTGCAGCGCGCCGATAGCAAATTTGTTCTCTACTATGCCGCTACCGCTGCCAATGCCACTGGGAACCACTGTGTGGGAGCAGCCGTTGGTGACTCTCCACAAGGTCCTTATGACCCTCTACCAACTCCCCTCGCCTGTCCCACTGAGATTGGTGGTGCTATTGACCCTTCCTCAATCATCGACTCGGACGGATCGATATACTTAGCATACAAAGTGGATGGAAACAATAGAGGAAACGGCGGGGATTGCGAGAACACGGTGCCTCCTCTCAAGGACACTCCGATTCTTCTCCAGAAGTTGGAGCAGGATGGCACCACTCCTCTTGGACCGCCAGTTAAGATTCTGGATCGGACGTATGAGGACGGCCCGCTGGTTGAGGCCCCCAATCTGATTCGAACCGTCGAGGGCATCTATTTTCTCTTCTTCAGCTCTGGCTGCACAAGGCTCCCAAGCTATGACGTAAAGTATGCCACTAGCTCTAACATCACCGGTCCTTACGTTCGATCTCCTAAGCGATTACTGAAGACTGGCGACATGGGCCTACTAGCCCCAGGAAGTGTATCCGTAACTCAGGACAAGTCGAAATGGAGGATGGTATTCCATGCCCGCGTTAAAACGGACTTTGGTGGTGTTCGAGCTATGTATACTGCTAATCTAATCTTTAACAAGACTGATGCTTCCTTCGACCCTGCTTCGTAATACGGACTTTGGGTGGGAGAGCAAGCGAGCTTGGCCATGGGGGCCGGTCTGGGGCTAAATTTGGGTCGCGCGACGCCATCTTTAGCTTCTGCTGTAAACTGGAAAGAGTCATAGCCGGATTAAGACTCAACGGAGAGTATGAAGTGCGCGATCTTCTCCCTTTTTAGGGCACTGTCACCAACTTTAATGTCTTTCTGTCCTGAGAGAATAACGGCTTATGGCACATCTTGCGGACGAGTATTGGTGGTAGGTCCCTCTCCATCTAAATGTTCAGATGCACTCCCGCTAATGCTCAGCAGCAGTCCTACGAAGTTATTTATTAGAAGACCCTGGCCGTAGTTCGGCATGCGCCCATATCTCTTGTTTACATTATTCAATAACGGTCAACAAAAACTCCTCGTGCTTGGCGCCTTTGTCCACGCACCGATCATCCCACGTGCCCTTGCTAAATGCTATTTTAGCAATGGGACTATCGTTACCGACCCGATCTACGAAGCATGCCCCAACGTGCCTACCGTCTGTTGTGCGCTGAATCGTTCGAATCCTCCTGGCGGCGATATCGCAGATGGGGAGACAGCTGACGAATGCCTCCCTAATGGCGTCTGCCAGAATCGATTTGTTTCCAACGGCTCGAGTTACACGCGGTACTACCGGGACTACTGCACTGAACCCAATTGGGAGAGTGGGAAATGCTTGAATATTTGCATAGAGAATGTATGTAATTCCCTGAGAGTATTGCACTACAGATACCTTACAAAACCCAAGGCTTTGTCTGTGCCTATAGCCCCTTGTAATAAAACGAGCACTTCGAAGAATTGGTGTTGTGGCCCTGACCGCGATTGCTGTTCTAAGGACAGTAATTTACCCCGCCACCTACTTCCTGCCACCCTCGATGTCTCTTTCTCCCCGAATCGCGCAACCTCTACTTCCTTTGCTTCGACGTCCCACATCTCACCACCTCTTTCAACATCTACATCCTATAGTAGCATGTCGACATCCCTGTTAGCACTTACTGTAGCCTCTGCGTCCAGTTATGTTTCATTAACGCCAACAAATGCACTCACGACGCCGAGTCCAGTTGCTCGTGGCATTGAGCTCTCCACTAGCGCGAAAGTTGGCATAGGTGTTGGCGTCGGCATTGCAGCGGTCGTGCTCATTGGCCTGGGTTTCTTTGTTGCAAAGTCTTTGCAGCGGAAAGAAAAGATAGATCCGACTGGAAGAGATCAGACTCATCGGAGCTCCACTTTCGAACTTCAGCCTATTGAGTGTGCTCAACCGTACTACGAAGCAGGCTCGTCGACTCTGTATGAAATGATGTCAAGGGATGCGTTCGAACTTTCGGCTCTGAGCCCGCCCCAAGAGATGCTCTAGGTTGTCCTCGCTTTTGTAATTCCTCCTCTACCGTTACATCTTAGCACTATCAGTCCTTTCTGATAGTGTGAAGCTTTTAATGCGTCAATCATTTACTACCTCTGCCTCTCATCCGCTTTTACCCAACGCCTCTCTTCTCTAACTAATCTCGTTAACTCTTCTTTCACTTGCTCCCTACGTGCTTTTTCTCGCTGATCTGCTGTGTACGAGCATTTCTCACATGAGACAACTTGCCTTGATCCTCATATTAACACTGCCTACTTCATCACTCTCGGAGACTTCAAAGAACATAATTGAAGCTGCAGTCGTTCCGCGCATTCTAGATAGCCACGTTCAGGCGAGTTGTCGAAGATTCTGTTCTAGTGTGCTAAACAGGACATTCGGGTGGAAGGGGCTGACGGTAGGATCTTTCGACGGTCTCTTTACAAACCATTCGGAGAGCCGCTCGAATACCTTCACAGATCGCCGCGATTCAGCGCTAAAAATTACACGTAAATATATATTTTTGGGGATACAACCAGGGTTACGACCACCTCTCGGTATTCTGTGTGGTCCGTAGTTTAGTTCCAACACTCCAACCGTGAGGGACCAGATTACTTTCCCAACTGGGCGGAAAGTCCAGAATAAGGGGGGTGCCGATTGCAGAATCGTTTTTCCCGTGCAACTTGGATATTTGGGCTCACCCTCGCCTTGTCTGAAACCTCTTGGCACTAAATTGCTGTTTGTGCATCACAGTTACTCCGCGTTCTCCCCACGCTTCCGTCCACCTTCCTTTGGGTCGATATGGAGGAAGCACTTCACGGCATGTTTGTATGACATTGCGTCGATATCGGAATCGCTATCGGGCAAAACTTCGAGATCCTGGGTATCCAGCGAGCAAAGTAGTGTTTCCTCATAGTCTTCAAGACTTTTCATTACTGAGTAGAAAAATAGAAATAAATTTGAACCCGGCGCACTAGAAGACCTTGGTACTTTGAGAGCGTCCTCATTTCCCCACGAAACGTTCAAGACATTACAAGACATGCGGCTCGGTGATAAAGACTATAGACATAGAATGCATATTGGATTGCGCTTGGATGCCAGTGTTATGGGGTAGGGTAGCACTGATTTTTCTTCAAAGGCCCCTATTTTTCCCGACCTAGTCGAGATCTACGATTCTAATGATACGTTTCTACAAGGGTTAGAGAATTTGAACGATCAAGAATTTCCTCGCATTTCGCGGTGGGGGCCAAGGCCGCGACAAATGGATGCATCGATTGGATAGATTTCGGAGACTGATCCAACGAGACACAAGACGAAACTGTGGGTCTTAGGTCCAGAGGGAGATATCAGAGCTTGATTGAAAGGTAGCGAAAGCTAGGAATTGGGAAGCGAATTTAGGGTTTGGTTGAACACTATACGCTAATATTGCTAGAAGAGGCTAATGCGTTCTTACCCAACAGGTTGAACGAAATTGATGGTGACGAGAGTTGTGCTCCAGTGATATTAGTTTAGTTGGGAGTACCATGTGTATCTTCGTTGGATAGTACATGTAATGAACCGTTATTTGTTTTAATTTCCTTATTAAATACTAGTGGACTCAATCGTGATCAATACTCCCAAGCATTTCTAGGAAAGCTTTCTGACTCCGCATCCTGGCAACGGATGCCGTCTCTGGTGCCTTTGCCGGGGAACTGTTCGAACCCCGTGCGTCAAATTTAGTCAGTGGTGAAACCAACCGTTCGCCAACGCCGGGACGAGTGGACCTGCCCATCGAAGGAGCTAATAGAGGAGATGGGGTGTATTTTGTAGATTTTAGTGAGGGTGTTGATGAATGCAAAGCCGAAGTCGGGGATGGATATTGTGGATATTCCGGTTTACGTACCGGATAACCCGGAGATGAAGGCAACTCAAATCGACTTTGCTGTAATCTGGTGAATCCTGAGTGGAAATTCTGTCTGGATACGGGCAGTTCCTGCTGAGAAACGTTTGCGGGAACGCTCGCGGGGTTTGGTGATGGTGATTTGTGAGCTGCTATCGGATAGTCTTCAGATGGATTATATTGAACCGTCCGTTGACTGGGATATTGTGTGGGAAGTTCGAACCCAATACTTCTTACTCCAGGTCGAGGATATCGAGGAGATGACCCTGAGCCATAGGCTTGTATTTCTACAGGAAAGGACGTGTCTCCAGGCATTTCCGATAGTGCGTGGACAGGACGACTGTTTGATCCAAGCTTGGGAGATTCAGGTTCAAGGTCAGGGAAAAACTCGTAAGGATTTACTGGCCCTTGAGCATTTGTTCCGCAGAGTGAATGCGTGGCGCCAATTGGCTCTGGAACGCCTTGTTGGTGTTTCCTTCCGGTTGTAGCATTGGGTAGTGGCTGTTGAATGTAATCTGAAGATGGCGGTAAATTCTTCATAGAACATGGCAAATACTTGGGTGTTTGGAGACTAGGTGATGGAGAGCTAAGGAGGGCACACTCGGATGTAGTCTTCTGCTTCGGAAAGGACAAGTGGGAGCCCTTCCCTTCTACTGTATCGAGTTCCTGAGGCTGGATTGTCTGTGGCACTGAGACGTATGCTGGCGGAGTATTATTATGTACAAGCAAAAGATTTGCTCGAAGATCGTAGGGTTCCCCCGGTCGTGTGGATTGCAAAATATCTGAGTATTTGGTTTTAGATCAACTAAATAGTTGACATGAAAATGGGGTGCTCTTACCCTCAACTTTTGCTTGCTGTGATTTCGAAGTTTGGCCTGATTTCATCATGCCTTCCCTATTCTGCTGGGGGGACAGGATATCGTCAAAGTAAGTGGTATCGTGATATGTCGGAGGATCTGAACTAACGGGAATCTCTTCCAAAGGGTTTAGAAAGTTCAGTACATTTGATATTTGCTGATGGCATGTCGAAAGCTCCGTTTGCCGATTAATCAGCCTCTCGCGAAGTCGTGGGTCGGGACGGATAGATTTGGTAACTTGTTGGTCTACGCACGCACTCTGGGCGCATTGGGTAATAGCGTTAAATGTTAACTTAGTGTTGGTGATGGCACCTCTGATCCATTCAAGCTTTCTAGGGACAGCTGTGAGTTTCCTCCTAACCGATTCATTGCCGAGCAGTCTCTCGACCTCGTTCAGATCATTTCTCATAATCTGGATTGACCGAACGAAGATGTCGTCCCCGGTACTGACTCTAATGGTGTGTATGAGTAGTTCGGCGAAGTTGATCGTGGTATTCAAGGCATCAATTATCGCGTCTAGCCCCATGGTAGAATATTCAAAAAAGGATAGTGGTTCTGGCAAGTAAAGATCGTTGCCTGTGAGATGGGTTCGGTGGGCGAAAGGGGGTAGAAAGGAGTTGATAGTGCACGCTAATAAAGTACGCTACAGGTGGGTGGGAGATCCAGTGGCATGGCGGGCTCGCCTGTGGCCACGGAGCCGCAAGGCCAAAACTCGGTCTTGCCGTTGCAAAATCATGGTGGCAAAATAGCTACTCTTGGCTACACACTTTCGCCAGGTTACTCGTCGACCCAAAGCGAGAAAAGTTATCGATGTTGTAGAAATCCTCCTGCAGCCGAGAGAAGCATGGCATGCGAGTGAGTATGCGAGTTGGCATCTTAGCTTAAAAATCGAACCCACCACAGAATCCATGTATGGCTTATTACCACTCAGCAAAAATATCCAAGTAGGGTAGAAATAGCATGATTGGGGTAAGATAGGCTAGCGCGGGCGAGGTCTGAGGGAACGCCCGGACCTATTGGAAGTCTAGACCCAAGGCAGAATGGTCTCTATTGTGCCTTGCAAAAAGCTGGTTACAGTAGGTTATTTCGGGATAAGGCCGTGAAACTGTTACGGGAGGACCCTTATAACAAGTGATATACTTACGCAACTTGGGAAATCGTTGCAGCAAAGTAAAAAGCTATTTTCTCTACTATTATTTTTCTCTATCATGTCCTTTAGGCTTTATTATCACTACTCTAATTTCTAGTTTTATTGTCTGTTGTTCTTCTTTTTGGTCTGCGCCTCTGTCAAGAGCTTCGCAGTGCAATTTGTGCGCTGAACTCCTAGCTATTGGCTCGAATTTTAACGGTAACTTGCTTTTTGCAAGGGCACGGTGAAACATCTCTTCACCAAACCTGCGCCACTTTCTCACTCCACGTCTTACAGTGTTCGATTCAAACCCCTTGCATTACATCCTTGTTCCTATTAAATCAAATAATAACCACTGACTACATACAATCCCCGAATGAAGTAATATTCTGCGAACTAGACTGAACTATCTGAACCTGTCACCTCACTCAGACCTGCCCTTCTACCGCAATTTCCTTCTCCCAAAGAGGCCTGGGCGGGCTTAGAGTCTGTGCCTGGTCGCCAATCACCTGGAAGAGAGCTGGAAAAATGGTCATGACCCCATTTTGTCCAGTAAAGTCGAAGCGAAATGTACCAGGCTGAGAAAACAAAAGGAAAGCTAGTTTCGCCGACCGTTGCATGATCATCTCAAGATTCTTTTGGCGTCGGTCTCTATTAACTTTGCTGACAACGAAAGGCGCTAGAACTGAATTCAATTCTTCAATGGCTTCCGCCACGCTGCGCGCCGTCGCAGCTGCTTCTTCCGACTGTTTCCCATACCGTTGCTGCAGCAAGGCCCCGGTAATCGTCTTCCACTCACTGAACAGTGCAGCTTGGTCTATATCTCCCTTTAGTTTCCTGCTGGATGGATTGTGTGAGAGATGATACATACTGCTGTTTGTTCCGTCCTTGCCTGGCATGGCGATAGCTAGGCTGGACAACTCGTCAGGGAGGAATGTTGGGTGTCGTTCGTCCGAGCATCTTGATATGGCGATCCACGCGATGAATAGACGGATTGCTTCCTCTCGAGTGGAAGGGTTTAAGAATATGCCAGTGAGTGTGGAAGCATTGATGCCAACGGCAGCAGCTAAACCACTCAATTGCGACTCATCTAGCTCAGTAACTGGCACCATCTCAAGATGATAGTATGATCGTGCATGATTCTTGATATTATCGCGGACCCGGGAGAGCACTTTCTTAATTGCATCATCTTCAACGGGCTGTGGCAGTAAACTGTTGACTTTTCAGCATATTCCGCTTTTCGTATGACCGGTATCAACTAACGCGCCCTTCTCCGACGATGGAATATGTCGTTTATACGAATCTGCCTGCCTCCTCTTGCGTCGGGTAGAGAGGAAGAACAGCATAGCGACGGCAATGGCTGCTCCGATGATCAGGCAAGCGAAGGCTACCCCTACGACTGCTGCCCCGGGAACGCGTTTATTGCTTGAACTTAATGGAGTTTTCGAGGCTAGCGTTGCACTAGTAGAGGATGGTGAATTTGCATCTGTGGTACCTGCTGTTGTGCTAGCAGGATGTACTGATGTTGTCGTGTTGGCGGCAGCGATAGTGGAATTAGGGAAGAGATTTCTGAACTGCTCTCGATCGATGGGGCTGGAGAGAAGCGGTTGCTTTAAACTATTAGATATACATTCCACGAGCCATCGCACCACATGCAGCCCGATAACGCCACGTTTCATCAAATGTACCGAGTCCCTGCCATCGTGTGTCCGGTCGAGAAAACCGTGTGTCAGTCATCTCCCTGCATGCTACTCGGCATCCTGCTGCCTAATTGGTTAGAAGCGGTTATTAGAGTTAGGTTGTGTTGAACCTAACACGCCAGATTACCTCACAGTCTCCTACGTTTAACTCAGGCTCGCCGCGGCTTTTCGGTTCGGCTCAGCTACTCGTCTTGGGCTCTTTATTGCGAGAAAAAGGGGTAAGTTCTGATCGTTAATTGTTCATTCGTTACAGGGCTTCGGCTTCGGCTCGGGTGGAGCAACTCAGACTGATTCCTTTGTTTGCTCATTGGTTGGTTGTGGAACTATAGAATTGAATAGAGAAAAGGGGTCTCTGAAGTACCGTAATGTCCTTGCCATTTGTGCCTCTTATAGGGGCCTAGATTGTTGGTAATATTCCCGGGTCTACCGTCTCGACTACTGTCACCAACTTTCATTCCACAGTTCCTTTGCTTCTCATTTCTCCTAGCGAGATCAATATTATCCTTTAAGCTAAGCTCTCGGATCCGTTAACAGTTATGTGTATCTACCTTGCAGTTAACTTACAGTCTAGCCTCGTTTGAGATTTCACCCAAGATTCTTGATAACTCTCCTATCCGATATATATACCTGCGCTTACCACCATACCTTTGCTTCAATTTCAATTTCCGTCTCCCCATCATCTAGCGAATATCCCTCAGTTACGCCATAAGACACCACGATGGGTGAACAAACTGGCAGACCAGATTTAGTTGTCTCAATAGACTTTGGAATGACATGTAAGCATATTACTCCTCCTCTCTAGCCCCATACAATTCCTTACGTGAATTAATTGTTTAGGTACCGGAGTCGCTTTCTGTAATGTTGCGACAGGATCTCTTGGTAGCGTTAGGCATATTCAGAGATGGCCTGGGAGGATGCAGGCAAATGAAAACAAGGTTCTTGACCCCTGGAAACAGCGCTGCGCATAATCCTACTGATTCTCAATCCTGGCTAGGTTCCCACTATCCTTGTATACACTCAGGGATCTTCCGCACCCTCATCTTGGGGCTTTCTCGCTGAGACTGCCCAAGAAAAATGTGATGATCGAAGCCAAATCCGGGAGTTGTTCAAGACTATGCTGGATGAGGGCATTTTAGAGGAAATGCGCAAAGCTTCAAATCAGCCAGCCCAAGTTCCCCGTATCCATGAAATTGAGCAGTGGTAGAGACTTCAGAGCCTAGGGATTTTCTTGCAATAGCTTATAAGAACTTTAGGTACTATGACTACTTTCAATTCCTCTATCGCTGTGTTGAAACAAGGCTGAAGGGCGAGCTTGCGAGCCGATGGGAGGATGCTAAAATCGAATTTATATTTTCGGTGCCTACAACCTGGAGACCGAACCCGACTGTGGAGCGCTTTCGGAACATCATATCTCGTGCAGGTTTTGGCCAAGCGCCGAATCATACTGCGGTGATTGGGCTAACGGAGGCGGAGGCTGCCGCAGTGCATACTGCGCGTAGTACACCAGCGATTTTCAAGGTAAAACTTGCACTACGGTGCCCCATTCTCTTAAGCTAACTTTGAGAAGGAGAACGATATTCTGCTCGTATGTGACGTGGGAGGAGGTACAACGGTGAGCAACCACTGTCTTAGAATGGCCTCTTGGCTTCAAATTGATGGGTATGATAGGATTTGTCAGTCTTTCGCGTTAAGAATACGAGCAGTCGTGGGGAGTCATTGAGTCTCCAACAAGTTGACACGGTTTTTGGTAATGAGCCCCTGAATGACGAGGTTTACGTTTGCTAATATGCGGACCTTAAGGCGCGACTATAGGATCTGCGCATCTAGATACTCTCTTTGCGAAGTTCGTGCAAGAGAAACTGCAGCTTGCGAATACAATATCACCCATGGGTCTCGAGAATCTCAGCTTAACTGCGTGGGAAATGCGAAGCAGCAAGGAGTACCAGTATGTACGGATTGAAGTATTGATTTGTCGTACTAACGGAAGTCGTAGAAATGCGAAATGTGACTACGGTTCCGATGAGTCCTTTTCCGACACCGAGGTATTTGCTGTGCGTGTTCCGAAACTTGACCGACGCTATGTAAATGAGGAATACGGAATTCGCAACGGAGATATGAATTTCGGAAGGTAACATGTTGTATATAGAGTTAGAGACATCGCTGATCTGGGAGCAGAGATGACCTCCGACAATTCTTTGATGCCCAGGTAGGTAGCGACTTAGCACGTGAATCCGAGTATTGACCAAGATCTTAGATCTTGAAACTTTTCGATATGATCGACAAGCAGCTCGTTCGCCTTCAGAAGAAGATGCCAAATGAACAAGTTGTAGGGGGGTCCCAGTTCACGCAACGTAAATACATCACTAATGAGATTAGGCTCACTTGGTTCTCTCCGGAGGACTTGGCAACTCCGCCTACGTGCGAGACCGCCTACGCGATCGTTATGCTTCAAGAAATGCGAGCCACCCTAATGCTCGGAACATGAAGATCAGAGTCGCACCGAACCCACAGCTTGTCGTGTGTAAAGGCAATGTGGCAGATCGGGTGCAAAAGCTCAAGAGTGGGAAATCTGTACTTGGATGGCGTTGTTCTCGATTCTCTTATGGGACGATCTGCAAGGTGATTTACAATCCACAAAATCCATTTCATCAAGGGGCTCGTACGAACTATGATCCCCTTGATGGCCACACCTATATTTCAAACTACATTGATTGGTTCATCAAGCAGGTATGACTCTCATTTCCCATACATTCCTCGAAACTAATGGCAGTAGGGCGAACCTGTCTCGAACAACCAGCCAATTGTTCGCGGCTTTCGTCGTAAATGCTCACCAGCCACAAGTACAAATCCAAACCCCCCACGAGTGTTCCCTACCGAAATTGTCTGCTCTGATGTTGACAAAGCCAGTCTGCCGATTACGATGACCTCCTGTAAGCTCATGATCCTCGTCACGTTCCAATCAGCAGACTAACCTAAAAAGCCTGCCGTTCATTGTGCAAAGTAGACTCCGATTTCTCTTCTCTTCCTCTCTCTACGTTCAAGCTGAAAAACAGACACTGGTGGAACTCCGGGCCAAAGTACCATCGTGTGGATTACGTTGTCAAGGTGAATATCGGACCCGCCGACATCTCTTTCGAGCTTTGGCATGAGGGCGTGAAACTCAGCAAGGACAATTCTATCAAGGTGGAATGGCATGAATCGGCGGCTCCCGATCCGAGCCTCCACCCAGTCGCTGCAGATCTCCCGATGAACTCCCTCTCCTCCCTACATGAACCATTAATCAATGGTAGGGGTGCAGGGAATAGTGGAAATCTGGGGTACAGGAGTATGCAACGATATGGTGCCCGACCTATGCCCTTGCACAATGGGAGTTCGGAACCGCTAAGCATCTAATCGTTCGCGCGAGAGGCTAGTCTTGTTTTAGGATGTTAGGTTTTTTATAAACATGCTAAATTATTCCTAGAGCTTGCTCCGCTTATATTCTTAGTTTCTAAAAACAATGGCTTTTCTTTGGGTGTAATATAGTTATCTGAACCTCCTCTTTAACCAAGTTAAGCTTAGTTATCCTAGAATGTAAAAAATCTTTAGTAATATTATAGATGTAATATCTAAATAAGAAGGCTGTTAATTAACTTCCTAAAGAGTATAATTATAACAAGTACTGCAAGAGTCAAGGCTAAATTAGTATAATCAGTTACTAGGCAGCGCTATTGTAATAGTTTAGCGCAGATGGCAAAATGCCTACTAACAGTGTTGAATTCAATGAAGAAGAGGAACTGTGTCCTCGCTACAGAATTAGGGCTTATACTGCAACACCTAGCTAGCGTAGATCTAGCCTAGGGATAGCGTTGTCAACAAGCCAGCTTAGTGTCTCTTGTAATACAACTAATGTATGCCCTAGTATACTGCAATTTGCTGTAGTTTGCTTTATGTTCTTCCTAACGTTGCTAGATAATCTCTAGGTGATACCTTGAGGCACAAGCCTCTTACAGTTATACTAGATATATTAAAGCTAAAGAGAAAACAAAAGGTTGCTAGCATTATAAAAGTTAAAATGTTAGTAATCTAGCGTAGAACAACTATTATCCTAACAGCGTGGTATAGTAGTTATGTAATATATGTAAGGTGTTACATTACCTATTATATTTATAATACTATAACTTTTCTTCTCTAAGTTTTAATAGCTTCTAACTATTTTACTATAACATACACTATAGGCAAGTTGCTTACACACCTAAGTTGCTTGTTAGCTGTTTATTATTTTTTTAAAGGACTTTATATATAGCTACAGTATATTACATAGAAAGTGTTGCGTTTTATTTAAAAGACTAGAGTATAAGATATATCTAACATTATTTAACACGTTTAAGTAGTGTTGTTAGAAATATATTAGTATAGAAAAAGTAGTTTTATGTAGTTTAGTAAAAGTAATCAACTTAGGTGTGTAAGTAACTTACCTATAGTGTAAGTTAGTTAATTTTTACAAGTTAGCTGTATAATTATATTATAAAAGTCTACTATTACTTTTTTAGACAAGTGTAGCTTTAAAGGGTTTATAGATTAGTATTGTAATTTAAATGCGTAACATATAGCGTTTTTAAAATACTTAAAAAGCTAAAAGTATTTAACTTATTTTTATTAGTATGTTAAAAGTTTATTCATAGGTATATTATTAATTAAAGTATAAGGTGCTAAAATTTATTAAAGTTAACTGTCGCGTATACTAAGAGCCTTGGCTAGGGCTCGGAATCTGGAGATAGTTTGTTCCGAAGCTCGGTGTATATAAGGAGAGCCTTCAACTCTCTTAGATAGCAGAGTCACTTTATCTGATTATCTGAACAGCTATTACCAAGCTATCTTATCCTCCACAGTTATGAGCCTGGTTTGCGGCATAGTGTGGATGGTTAGCGCGCGAAAATTTTCGCACCCCTGCTCTCCCTGCTTAACTAATAGGAACGCATTATCCCTGAGCACTGTGTGTTTGATTCCCACGTTCAGCAAAGAGTATTTAGGCAGTGTGCCTATTACAGACGCTACCTTGTTAGATCTGTCTCTACGTTCAGTTACTGCTCGGGCTGGGAGGGTGTGTTGAGTTTTTTTCACCTCTCTCGCTCCACTGTTCGAGCTGGGGGTGTGTCGCATACAATTATCCGCCTATATATATCCTTCTGCTGTGCTAGCTGGAAGGTTGAGCTTTTGGCGACGCAACATTAACTATTTACTTATGCAAACTATTTATAAAATATGTTGAGAGCTTTGAGAGGACGAGCTCCACAATCACGTGCCGTCTTGTCCCACTTGTCCTCGGAGGCTTCCCTTCTCACGCTAGATCTGCAACATCTGCTATCATACCTCCCATCTACGTATTGGACCCCCGTGACAAGCTGCAATTGATATTCAAGATTACTACTCAAATCCAAAGATTCACACTGACGCAAGAGCTGGTTAATGTCCGATAATGCTACGATGGTTTGTGGTGCTTTGATTACGCACTTGGTTCTGTGTCGAATTCAGTTAGGTACCAGTGCAAGATGGCATCGTGACGGGTTTTGACACAAGCCGTCTCCATAACTGTTGTATTCGGAACCGGAGATGTTCTCACCGAACAGCCAGTGGAGAAGAAGGGCATCAAAGGCTATGATTTACCTAGAACTGGTCGCATGGCGTTCTATGGTGGAGGTATATTACTCGATCCCATTCATCCATATCCTCAAGTAGCAATGTCGCACAGCTATATGGCGTCTAGCGGCCACGCGCTGGTTCAGGTTTCTCCAAGCCAAAATCGTTCTCCAGAACAAAACCCTTGAAATGGTTACACATGTCGCAATAGATCAAACCTTCTTTGCCCCGGCAAGTCTCTTTGTCTTCCTGAGTTCCATGTCAATAGTGGAGGGCTCGAGTCCATCAGAGAAGTTGTCTAAGTCGTTCATTACAGCTCTGCGGAGGAATCAAATAGTCTGGCCGTTTATGTCGCTTTTTAACTTCCGATTTGTCCCACTAGATCATCGAGTCATACTCGTGAATGTGATTCCTCTGGGTTGGAATTGTTACTTAAGCGACGCCAATAGCTCCACGATGGTCGCGTATGCTTCGCCCATGCAGCAAGGTATCTAGCGTTCCGTCTTGAGGACGATTGAACTTAATCAGAAACATTTCAAATATCAATGGGCCGGCTTAGGTTGAATGTGTCCCAGTTTTGGATTAAATCTATTGGATGCACTCTGATATGGCTGCACACCACTGTGCCGCTACGAATGGACCTGGGGACAGACCCTATGCGGGAATTAGCGCCGCGGGTAAGCCACCGGATAACAGCTGGTCCATAGACCTCATTTGCCCAGATCCTGGGGTTCAGTCATCGCAAACATCAGCGGCAGAAGCGAACAAGAACTGTTTTTTTTGAGCGTTGTGCACACTGGCTACATGCTGCCCCTTTCTTCTCCCTCTTTCCGTCGCATGCCAATTGCATCTATTTGACGACCGACATCCTCGTATCCATGTGCGAGGCGGTACCAGGACGATCGTTTAGCATTTGGCTAGTTCTCCAACAGTGCTCTCCTCTCCTCTCAAACCCATCCGCTCTGCAGCATGCTTCGGTCTCCAGTAGGGACTACCCCTAGGGCTTTAAAATACTTTACAAGATGCAATTCCCCTCATTTCTCAAGCATACCGGCTTTTGTATCCACCACGATGATCCACAAGGGTCCTTCGGCCTCAAGATCACAGGCAACCGCTGCGACAGCTTGTGCGCCAACCTCAAAACCGTACTCGTTCGAATCCACAACACGGCAACCTCGAGAAAGTCCCAGTCTGGCCTTCAATACCACTCAACTAAAAGCGAATCCTCTCCATCTAGCGCGAAGTGGCCAACAGCAAGAACTGGATGAGTCGTATGTTATGAGTCACACCCATGTAACAACCCCGAGAGTTGACAAAAGTACAGATTCATTGGCAAGACTGGAGGAGAAATATTCCACGAGATGATGTTAAGGCATGGAGTCAAACACATCTGTACGTATGCGTTGGTAAAACTTTCAATTGACGTTGTTGACCATGCTCCGCAGTCGGTTATCCAGGTGGTGCTATTCTCCCCGTATTCGATGCTGTCTACAACTCAAAACACTTCGACTTTATTCTTCCCAAACACGAGCAAGGCGGTGGGCACATGGCAGAGGGCTATGCACGAGCAAGCGGCAAACCTGGCGTTGTTCTCGTCACCTCAGGACCGGGTGCGACCAATGTTATCACCCCAATTCAAGACGCATACTCCGATGGAACTCCGTTGATCGTGTTCTGTGGTCAGGTTGTCACCTCTGCCCTTGGTAGTGACGCTTTTCAAGAGGCAGATATGCTCGGAATTTCAAGCGCATGCACAAAGTGGAATGTCATGGTGAAGAATGTCGCTGAGCTCCCCAGGCGGATAAACGAAGCTTTTCAGATTGCAACATCAGGACGGCCAGGACCAGTCCTGGTAGATCTACCTAAGGATGTTACTGCAGGAGTCCTACGAAAGGGTGTTCCCATGAGCTCTAGCATCCCCTTCTCACCCGGTCAGGCATCAAGGGCCGCCCAAGAGACTGTAAAGAAGGAGCTCAATGCCGTCATCGGGCGTGTAGCTCGCTTAATAAATATGGCGAAGAGGCCCGTCATCTATGCCGGCCAGGGTGTTGTTTCTCGGCCAGAAGGCCCTAAATTTCTTAAGGAGCTTGCTGACAAAGCCGCGATACCGGTGACTACAACTCTCCAAGGCCTTGGTGGATTTGACGAGCTCGACGAGAAAGCTTTGCACATGCTCGGCATGCACGGCTCAGCATATGCTAACCTAGCCATACAAAACGCCGATCTTATCATTGCTCTTGGGGCCCGTTTCGACGATCGTGTCACTCTTTCTATACCAAAATTCGCGCCACAAGCGAAGCTCGCAGCCAGCGAAGGCCGTGGAGGCATTGTTCACTTTGAAATCATGCCGAAGAACATCAACAAAGTTGTCCAGGCTACTGAGGCCGTTGTAGGAGATGTCGTAGAAAACCTGGCAATCTTGAACCCTCTCGTACAGGACCAAAGCATGGCCGAGCGGAAAGAATGGTTCGGTCTGATCAACTGTTGGAAGGAGAAGTTTCCTCTCTCAGCGTATGAGAAGTCGGAGAGGGCAGATCTCATCAAGCCTCAGGCTCTCATTGAGGAGCTCTCGAATTTGACCGCACACCGAAAACATGATACCATTATCTCAACTGGTGTCGGCCAACATCAGATGTGGACTGCCCAACACTTCCGATGGCGACACCCACGAACGATGATCACTTCAGGTGGACTTGGGACTATGGGGTATGGTCTCCCTGCGGCTATTGGGGCGAAGGTTGCACGACCAGATGCTCTTGTCATTGATATCGACGGTGATGCGTCATTCAACATGACTTTGACCGAGATGTCAACCGCCAAGCAGTTTAATATTGGCGTGAAGATGATAGTTTTGAACAACGAGGAGCACGGTATGGTCGCTCAATGGCAAAATATGTTCTACGAGGATAGGTATTCGCATACACACTCTGAGAATCCCGATTTCATCAAGCTGGCAGAGGCGATGAGAATTCAGGCTAGAAGGGTAACTAAACCAGATGAGGTTAGAGATGCACTTCAATGGTTGATTGAGAGTGATGGACCGGCATTCTTGGAAGTTGTGACGGATAAGAAGGTTCCTCTTCTACCCATGGTGCCTGCTGGATCTGGTTTACATGAGTTCGTTGTTTACGATGAAGGTACGTAATTCGGGTTAGCCTTTGAACGCAATTACTGAAACAATCACAGCCGGGGACAAGTCACGCCGAAAGCTCATGGCGGAACGAACCAATGGTGTACATGGAGGCGACTGAAACTGGGGAAACGACCTAAGGACCTCCCGGGCGAAAGGGTCGTGATATTTGCTGCGCTTTTCGAAGTTGTGCAAGCAGTGTCGTGTCGCCTGCCCCAGCTTCTTGAAGACTTCGTCATCCGGGGAGAAAGTTTCTAACTCCCGCTTGGTGAGCTCGGGGGGTATTTGGAAAGTGGTAACGACGCTGAGTTGGGCTGTTTTCTGAACCTTTTTGAGAGATAACAATTCAAGAGATTGCAGCGACGAAGGTTTTGAGGTCTGAGTCACAACGTGAATCCACAAATCTCCTCTCTGAGATGACAGGAGATTGTGCGCACATTAGGGCAGGCACTAGCCCAAGCAGCTTCAAAAAGAATTGCCTTGAGACGTCGAAGCTAGTCCCCATACGGACTAGGAATCGGTACTCTTCTAGGTGAGTTCTAGTTGATCAGCTCACGTGACTTGAAGCGACGGCGTTTCGCCTTGGAGATCTGCTGAAGCAGCTGTCGATGCTATGCAGATAATGATTAAAGTATGACCAAGACAGGAGTAATTTTTGTATTATAAATAGCTGCTCCAAGAGAAATAGCTAAAAGATCCAGGCGCATTGACGATAGCTCGATACACTTGTGAAGAAGAAGCGTAAACATACAACCCAAACAGGAATGTTACCTCCACCGCCTCGGTTCTTTTGACTCTTCGGTGACCTCCGCATGGCTGGTGAAACTCTATTAAATCTCTAAAGTGTCCAAGATTCTAGATAGGCTTCCATGTGTTCGCTAAACTTTATTATTAATAATTGCTAACCTATTTAGTTACTAACCATCTAAGACTTACAGTTACTTTTAGTAGTATTTTTATCTGTGTTGTCTTAGATCTAGTTTGCCTATTTACTGCTTTAGATGTAACCGTAGTTGCTGCTAGTTATTAGCAGAGCTTAGTCCGCTTATATTTTTAGTTTATAAGAATACTAGCTTTTTGTTAAGCTTAATGTAGTTAGCACAATCTCCTCTTTAGGTAATTTAGGCTTAGTTATTCTAGAACTTAGAAGATCTTTAGCAATGTAGTACCTGTAATACCTTAACAAGCAGGTTCTTCATTAACTTTCTAAAAAGTACACTTCACAGTGCATAGGATCCTACAGCTTCTAATTACGTACAACCTGAATTAAATCCCTAGTTGTGGAGGGGCGGCTGTATTGTGTCTGTAGAAATGTGGCTCTCAGGCTGCCTTACTCAGCAGCTGAGGAACATCTCGCCTCTCTATCGCTGTAAAAACTCTATCATAACCTACTGCAGCCTCCTGTACCGCCTGCAGTTATTCACCTACTTACTCCTATAGATGATAGCCTCTAGAATAAGGATCTTCTTGCTGCTGTTATAGATTCCTCAACTGTTTTACTCGCACAACTGCTAGTTCCGCTTCTTCAACTGCCGCTTAACTATGATAGACTAGTGTCTAGAGGTATCAGCTAGAGATTAGCTAGCATTGTTAGGAAAGGCATGAAGTAAATTACTGCAAACTACTGCAAACTACAGCAAATTGTAGCAAACTATAATTAACTGCAGTGGATTACGGCAACTCTATGTATAGAGAAGGTTCTAGAGGGGGAACGCCTCTTATAAAAAAGCTACTTTATACAACACACTTTATTATTAACGTTAAGTAACTTGAAATCTTTTAGCATAACAAAATTATTTTAAAAAACATTAAATTAATTACTATTAAAAAAACCTATTATAAGAGGTATCAAGTAGGAAACACATCACAGAGAGGGAATGCATGATAGGAGGGTAACGAGAGGAAACCTTAGGGTTGGAGGCAGAGGTACGGAGGCCGAGGAGCCTATATACCCCGTGCCAAGCCTAGTGTACTCAGGGGTTAGATAGTTGTAACATAACTGTAACACCTTTACATGTTATACTTTTTAAGTATAAAGAATGTTTTTATATTCTTTTAACAAGTTTAAGTATTATGTTTTATCTTTTTATAGTTGCTACAGGGCTAAAGACCTACTTAGGCTTTTTCTTAACTACCTTTACTATAAGCCTTCTTATATAGATAGCAAGCTGTAGACGCTCTAGTAGCTACTTAATTACTTGCTTTACGAAACTCTATAGTGCTACTTTATTAAATCTACTTTCTTTTATATAATTTCTACTTAGTTAGCGTCTCTACTTAATTTTATAGCTTAAAAATATAAGTAAGTGTATATTAGTATAGTATTAGTTTAGCACTATTAATAAGTAAAAAAATAGTCTTAGGTTTTAAAAGAAGTTAAAAAATACTTAACTGTAAACTTAAATTATTACTTAAATTTAAGTATAACATACTCTACAGATAAGTTGCTTACACACCTAAGTTATTTACTTTTACTAAGACTCTACTAAACTACTTTTTTTATACTAATACATTTCTAACAACACTACTTAGATGTGCTAAAAGAACATTAGATACAGCTTACACTCTAGGCTTTTAAACAAGACATAACACTTTTAAAGTAATATGCTACAGCTATATATAAAGTTTCTTAAAAGTTAATAAATAACTAACATACTAGATAACCTTTATAAGCTAATTTTATAGCTAACTTATAAAAACTAAGTAATAATAAAAAGTAAGTAATTATTAAGTATATACTTAAGCTATATGTGCAAGGATTTTCCTCTTAGCTAGTAGCTGTGGCTAATATAGCTAATTCTTTACGCGCTAAGTCTAATCTAGGCTATGTTAGCATAAACTAGCTTAGTATATTTATAAAGTGTTATCTAGAGCTTAAAGTAAAGTTTAAGCATAAGTATAACTATAAAAGAGCTTTTTATAAGAATTCTAAAGTAATTTAAAGCTAGTTTAGCCTTATAAAGAATATTAAAGCTAAGTATAGCATCAAGAATAATAAAAAATATAACTTTAATAAAACAAGCTTTATAATAGGCTAGATATCTACTAATTATACTTATGCTTAAAACTTTAGTTTAAGCTTTAGATAACGCTTTACAAACATACAGGCTAGTTTATGCTAACATAGCCTAGATTATGCTTAGCGCGCAAAAAATTAGCTATATTAGCTATAGCTACTAGCTAAGAGGAAAATCCTTGCACATATAGGTTAAGTATAGGCTTATAATTACTTGCTTTTTATTATTACCTAGTGACTAGAAACCTGTTGCCCCTTGTCAGATATGCGCACCTACTGTCAAGACAGGAGGAACGCTTGACGAAAGCTGCTACATAGTACGAGCAATAAGCTCGAACAGTATGTTGCTGCAAATTGCTGCATGTTGCAGCAAATTGCAGCATGTTGCAAGCTGGTCGCGCATAGGGCAAGTGCGCGAGGGACTCGGATCGGCAAAACAAAAAGCCGAGCAACACGAGTAGAGCGGAAAAAGGATTGATAAATCAATACAATCAATCATCATCCCATACATCATATCCAAACCCATCATTCATCTCAGGAAGCCTAGAAACAGTGCTTCAATCTGACACCCCTACTCTACCTACTTTGTACGCTGTGCACACTGTACACTACTCTTACTCTTGCTACTTAGGTGCTTATACTATAAGCAGCTAGCTAAAAGAGCCTATTTAACACTAATTAGTAGTTAATTTAATTAACTACAAATTAGTAAGAGTAACAACAGAGTACGTACGCCCTGCAAGGTACTTTGTTTTGTTACCTATTCTTAGGGATAGCAGATTAATTCTTTGCATTGTATAGTAAGCTCTACTACTGCATAAAGTAAAAAGAAGATAGTGTAAGACACACACTAAAATAAATAACAAAGCTGCATAAACTAGCAGCTAGATAATAACAGCAGTACCTGTGCAATCTACTATAAAAGTAATTAACAACTCTAGGTAATAACAGAAAAAATAAGAAAGAATTCCTATTATATAAACAAGTTACGAAGAATATAGAGATATTAGAGGTGAAACTATAAAATAAGACTAGCCTAAAGTACTAGAATAATAAGATTAACATGTTAGAAGCTCTAATAAGCCTATAAACTTAATTATATATAGGTTATATAATTACTAATCTTGTTTGTACATGCGTATAGACAATAAGCTTTATAATAGGCTAGATATTTACTAACTATGCTTATACCTAAAAGCTTACTTTAAGCTCTAGATAACACTTTACAAACACACTAAGCTAGTTTATGCTAACATAGCCTAGACTATGCTTAGCGTGTAAAGAATTAGCTATATTAGCTATAGCTACTAGCTAAAGAGAAAATTCTTATATATTTAGCTTAAGTATATACTTAATAATTCCCTACCTTTTATTATTACTTAGCCTTTATAAGTTAGTTATAAAATTAGCTTATAAAAGTTATTTAGTGTATTAGTTATTTTTTTTTTAAAAAAAACTCTATATATAGCTATAGCATGTTGCTTTAAAAGTGTTACATTTTATTTAAAAGCTTAAAGTGTAAGCTGTATCTAATATTCTTTTAGCCCGTCTAAGTAGTGTTGTTAGGAATACACTAGTGTAAAAAAAGTAGTTTAGTAGAGTTTTAGTAAAAGTAAGCAACTTAGGTGTGTAAGCAACTTGTCTGTAGTGTATGTTACTAGTTTAGAAAATTTTAATTAAAGTAGCTAATTTATCTATACTTTATATATTTTAATATGTGTATTAAAGTATTCTAACTACTTAAAGCTAGGCTTGTTATTTCTTATATTAAATAGGCTCTTTCAGCTAGCTGCTTATAGTATAAGCACTTAAGTAGCAATAGTAAGAGTAATGTATAGTGTGCACAGCGTATAGAGTAGGTAGGGTGGGCAACAGATTTCTAGTCATTGCTTGTCTCATCTTTGTATAGACGGAAAGGAGAATATTTACATGTTCGCGCACAGGCACCACGTGATTCTATCTCGCGCGATAACTTGTATCCTAACTGTAACGCTGCTGTGTATAGACATATTAAGCTATTTTTAAAACCGAAAAGCATTTAATTACATTTAATTAACATTTTTTATACTATATAAAAATATAAACACAATTTTTATAAATAACGTACCTAACAGGTTGGCCGGCCACACGGGTTGGCCGGCCACTTTTGCTAAGCCCCTACTAAAACCACCCTATTCTAGCGCAAAACAGCCTAATTTAGCCCTGTATAAAGCAATATAATATAAGATATTATTTAAAGTCTACTTCTACTACTTTTTTATATATATATAAGTTATGCTTAGTTTAATTGCACTACTT